TCATTAATATGACAAGATGTTTATTGAGCATCTGATACATATAACATCCACAGTACTAGATGTTGAGGATACAAACACAGGTAAGATGTGATCTTTTCCTATGTTAGGGATAAGAGTCCAGTTGTGGGGAGATAGAACACAGCCGTAAAAGGATCGATAGCATTACACAGGAGTGTGGAAGAGTACAATTCTGCAGAGGGGCTGCAGGGCTTCCACACATATTTGATGCACATTTCTTTTAAAAATATTTTAACCATTAGAAAAACACAAATAAAATAACATGTTATGTAAATGTGTTCTATGCACCAAATATTAACATGCACAGAAGGGAGACCACTAAGCTAATTAATTTATTTTGCAGATTAATTCACACTTTATTTTACAATTTCAAAATAAGTAGCAAAGTCTTTATTTCTATTTCTCAAACTCGGTGAATAAAGACACATAGCCCTAGCAACACCTTTTAGTCATCATTTTCCTCCTTCCACCTCTGTCCTCACATAATAGCTTTGCTCTCAAGCTTGCTCCTTACAATCTCTCCACCTGCCACAACAAAACAAAACAAAACCTCTTTGAGCAGTTCTTTCTTTCCTTCTGATTCTCCATCATAAAATCTCAAAAACTGATCTGTCGTGTAAGACCTGTCTCAGAAAGCCTGGGAGGGGAAGGGTCTTTGAGCAGGCCAGGCTAGAATGCTCTTCAGAGGGCTGTGGGAAGAAATCCAGGGAATTCACAGGAAGTAACTATACATCCCTTCGTGCTTATTAACCCTTTGTAGGCTGCATGGTACTAGAGCTCTCTGACTATGAGTCTTTAAATGACCACATTCTGGATGATTTTTTTTGCAAACTCAAGAAATGTTACATGAACAATATATTTTTAAGGACAAAAAGGAAATATGGTTTTTCACCTGAGAGTCATTCAACAGAAGTATTGCAATATTTTGCAACAATGAACCTGAACCATCTTGTTTTACTATAGACATGATGGTATTTGTTCATCTTCTATAACATTTGGCATCAAAATTTTCTTGCCATGATTCATAAATGGACAGATGCTGAAGGGTAGGTATATCTAGTCTAAAAATGAAAATGGTAATTTTGGAGCAAAGAAAATGTCCTCTCTTCAAAAAATTGAGTTGTCAAGGTTTTCAGAATAGTGTTTTGACAATGCAAGAGCAAGAAGAAGTGGAAGTAAAGATAAGCCAAATCTATTAGAGATGTATTTGAAATCAAGAATCAGTACTTAGCAGATAGATACATTGCTAGGATTAGGCCTAATAGCTGATGAGGAGTTAGTTACATTAAAAAAACCTTTGTTTATTTCAGGTCTGTATACTTTCAAAACCAAGTTATTATGGAATAAAAGTTTGGGCTTACTATGTTTTAAAGTCTTATTAAAATTTTTAATATTCACTGTTCTTTTATTTCTTCGTAAATTATTCATAAAATGACAACATATTTTTAAAAGAAGGAGTCATGGTGATGGCTGTTTTTCCTGGTGTACTGATGGTTTAAACATGAATTAAAGTTCTTTCCACCCTGTCTATAGTAAGCCCCCCCCTTTTTTTAAATCACAGCACACAGTTTTGTTCTTCTTAGTGTTTTTGACAAAATTTACTTTTGTTTAGTTTTCTTTTGTGTGGTTTCTGTCTCATCCACTAAGTAAGCTCTGTGAGAGCCTGGACTTTCTCCGTCTTGTTCATGGGGAATCTCCAGCACCTTACCTAGTACTTGACATGTGTCAGTGTGAAATAACATTTGCCTCACAATGTGGCTGCTTATAAAATCTTCCTTGGTTAGATTTTTGGCCTTTTATTAGGAGTGTATCAACAGACTCACAGCAGGTTTGGGTTTAGTTCAGCCTTTTTTACTTATTGAGATTTATTATATCGTTTCAATTTACCATATATTTTAGTGTCATGAAGCAAATTACTTCTTTCTGAGCTATGAATAATACTGCCTCTTTTAGAAAAGAATCAGTAATTGTTTCATGATCTTGTTTATTTTGCCTTTCCAACTTGACAAAGCTAAGTTTGGATGAGGTTGATGAAGCTTAAAGCATTTTTCTTATACTATTTGACACACAGCGTTTTTGTTGAGAGTTGGTGAGGGTGGAGGGCAGACACATAGTTAGAAACAGCATTATCAAGTCAACATCCGCCAGCCTCCTACTCACATGGGAGGTCAAACGGCTCCTAAAAATATTTTATTCTAATGAATAGAAGATATCCATTAAATGGTTGTTGACATACTTCCCTTTTTTCTCATGTTACTGTAAATCAACAGACCTGCCAAACTTTATACAGTCTATTTGGGCTATTTATAAAAGATACATAAGGAAACATAGGGATCCCCAAATTTTTGGATACCGTATTTCACAAGTTATAGCTGAATCATGACATACGTGCATATGTAGATGACAGTAGAGTGCCTTTGGGATATGGCTGATAGCACTTATTTTATTAACTAGATGACCTTTTTCTTCTCCTTATCACAGAACCTTTGGCATTACAGGTGTGTTGTCAAAACCATGAATGAGGGGCCAGCCCTGTGGCTGAGTGGTTAAGTTTGCTCCCTTGGCTTTGGCAGCCCAGGGTTCCACTAGTTTGGATCCTGAGTGCGGACCTAGCGCTGCTCATCAAACCATGCTGAGGCAGCATCCCACATAGCACAATCAGAACGACCCACAGCTAGAATATACAACTATGTACCAGGGAGCTTTGGGGAGAAAAAGAAGATTGGCAACAGATGTTAGCTCAGGTGCCAATCTTTAAAAAAAAAAACAACAAAACCATGAATGATAAATCCCTGAACATAAAAAGGTATACTTTATAAATGATACCCTGCCCCCTATTTCCTGAGTTAACTATCTCCCACCTCTAAAATTCCCTATCTTCCAAATTTTTCTCATTAAGTAGAAAAGGGATCACCGTTAAACCTTCTTAAGCTCCCTGGAGATAGAAGGGCTTTCTTTTTAATAGGGCATGGTGAAGGTGGGTCAATTTCTGATTTTGTAAAAACATCATCAATAAGCTATGTATCTCCTGCCTTCAGTGAAGGATCTTAAAGCTCATTCAGCCTCTGGAGAGCAGCAGAGAGCTTTATTTCAATAATTAGGCTATATGTATACATATATTTATATTTTTTGCTGCTTTTCTCCCAAAGTTGAACCAGATCAGATAATTTTAGAACAGAGGAGCAAAGTCATAATTTTTACATGAAAGTCAACCTTCTAACTGAAATAAGAATAAAAGAATGAAATAGTGCACATTTAGGAAAGTCTAGTTTAAAAAGAGAGAAAAAGATATAACTACTCAAAAACAGAAATAAATTTCTTAAGGCAAAAGAGAACTACTATAGAAAATTTGTTGGTTATTAAAAAATAGCAAAATCAACAACCAACAACACTAGGTACAGAGATTACATAGTAGCTCATCAGCCCACTGGTCTCACGTTTCCACTTGCCTGAAGGACAGCTTTGCTTATATTTTATAAAATCTACAAACCCACATGACCAACACCAAGTTCATCAGTCCCTTTCTTTAGTAATGTCCTGTTCTTGGCTTCCTGCAACTGCCTGTCTTAGTCCATTTGAGCTGCTATAACAAAAATACCGTGAATGGGGTGGCCTATAAACAACAAACACATTTGCCTCTCACAGATCTGGAGGCTGAGAAGTCCAAGATCATGGCACTGTCAGATTCCATGTCTGATGAGGACCCACTTCCTCACTAACAGCCATTCTGTCACTGTAACCTCACATAGCAGAAAGAGCAAGGGATCTCTCTGAGGTCTCTTTTATAAGACCATTCGTGAGGGGTCCACCCACATAACCTAATCACCTCCCAAAGGTGCCACCTCCTAGTACAATCACCTTGGGGGCAAGATTTCAACATGAATTTGGGGGGAACACAAACATTCAGTCCCTAGCACTACCCTTCCAAATTCCCCCATTTCTTTCAGTTTTGCTACCATTTAGGAAGAATTCTTTATCCCTCTTACTCAGGTACACATCAGGTTGTACTATCCTTCTGAAATGTCAACAGATTCACTGCTTCAATTCCCTTCCCCTGACTACACCATAGAATAGATCCTTATCACTATTACTTCATGTCTAGTTTGATGTGGTAGTCTTCTAGCTTATCTCCTGATTCCAGTCTCTCACCTGACCAATTCAACTATTGTTCTTTCTGTGTTGGTTTTGCTTGTAAGAGAGTGTACGTTTATTGAGTATTCTGTTCTTACCACTGAGAGTAGAACACTTAGGAGAATTCTAGATTCAGAACTGATTTAAAAATTGTTAATTTGTTAACTCAACCTCGTGGTTTTATGAAGCAAATCATGGTCTACTAATATGCTTTCATTTTCAGATCAATGGGCCATATAAAAAAGTGAAAAAGATTCTAGGAAGACTCTGGAGAAATAAAACTTGTTAAATATGAAAAAGACTTGGCAGCGGTTGTATCGTAAGATTCATGAGTTGAGGAGTTAGGATTATCCCTTTCTCATGTAAAAGCTAGACTGAGGAACAGTGTCACATAATAGATGGGACCAACTTGGAGACAGATACAGGAGGGGTGGGGGAGTCATTGATCATGTTATAAAAATATCCTGTACCTAACCACAGCACAATAGTGATATTCTTGAAATTCTTCGTGATTAGAGAATCCATGATTGAGATATTTAGATCTTATGGGAAAAATGGCATTGGGATACCAAGGTCATTATCCAAATGACCACGAATCCAAAGAAACCTAGAAAAATATTCAATTTTACTTAAAGGGAATAATAAAGAAAGAGAATATAAATAAATTATATATTGTAAGTTAGTAATAATGGCTACTAAATAACTAATGTCAATTTAGTGATTGCTAGAAACTTCAGGATTTCTATTCTAGGTTGAAAAGAATCTAAATTTATTTTAACGTTTGAAATTTTATTGCAATTCAATTTAATTTATTAGCGTTTTTTAAAATTTATTTTGCATTTAATTTTGAGATGGAGAAAGCAACAGTACAAAATGTAATAAAGGAAGTTGTCAGACCCTCATTTGTCATGGAAGGAGGACATTCAGAAAACCCTGATACCTCAGGAGACCAAATGATGACTACACCTCAATTGCGTTTTACATCTTGGAGTGACTCTCAATTTAGGTGACTCACTGTTCACTAGGTACTAGTCTAAACGAATCTTTTCTCAACCTTGCCACACCTTTGAGCTTTCTTTCTCTTCCCATATTCCAACATAATTAAAGAAATTAATTCTTGCTGCTCTTACTTTTTCACTTATGTGTAGTGAGTGGTTGATCCTGGCCAATGAGTAAGCTTAGAGACAGTACTCCTTTGCTTTTTCTTTTTTTTTTTTTTGAGGAAGGTTAGCCCTGAGCTAACTACTGCCAGTCCTCCTCTTTTTTGCTGAGGAAGCCTGGCGCTGAGCTAACATCCGTGCCCATCTTCCTGTACTTTATATGTGGGATGGCTACCACAGCATGGCTTGCCAAGCAGTGCCGTGTCCGCACCCGGGATCAGAACTGGCAAACCGAGAAGCAGAACATGCGCGCTTAACCACCGGGCCGGCCCCAGTACTCCTTTTCTTAAAAAACATCTTCCTTCCTCGTTAAACCTGATTTTATCATTCATTGATTCTTCCACAGACACTAAGTATCTAGTATTTATCTAGTATTCAGTACTGTGCTAGATACCAGTTACAGAGTGGTGTATAAAGCTGACTTCATCCCTTTCCTTGAGGCATTTGTATCCTAGAAAAGGAAACAGACAATAAAATGGCAGCTCCTTCCCCAGCACTCCCTATGTTCCTTCCGTACTTAATTTTTTTCCATAGCATTTATCAGCATCTAAGACTCTATGTTTGTTGTTTGATTCCACCCACAGAGTGTTGGCTACCTGAGGGCAAGGATTTCTGTATGTTTTGCTAGAGGAATATTTGTTGGGTGAGAAAGTGAGAAAGGCACATCTAATTAGTCACCATGTCCCCTTGATTCTGCTGCCTCAGCCTGTCTTAAACAACCCCACTGCTGCTTCCGAAGTTCAGCCCTTTTTATTTTTGCCTCATCTATTATTAAAGCAGCTTCCTAACAATTTCCGTGCCTCTGTTGTACCTTTTCCCTTCAGACTACTGCCAGTAATCTTTGTAAAATTCAACTCTGAATTGCTTCAGTGATCTCCCATCTTTTAAGGGTGAATTATTAGACTCTTCAGCTTTTCGTTATACGGTTACTTCCCATCTTGTCCAGCCTTGCTTATTTCATTTCTCGGCTGCTCCCTGCTCTCCATCACAAACTTTATGCTACAGTAGTCCCAATATATTGCACTTCTTCAAGCTTCTTTGCAAACTGTGGTGGCTAGATTAGAGGCATCAGCACAGCTTGGAAATTAGTTAGAAAGACAAATTATTGGGCCCTACCCCAAGGCCTGCTGAATCAGAAACCCTGGGAGTAGGGCTAAGCAAGCTAAGCGAGCCTTCCACGGGATCCTGATGTACCTGAAATTTGAGAACCACTGCTCTAATCTTTTTTTTAAAGTTCATTTCCTTAACAAGCTCAGCCATTAATTACCATGCTTTCAATATCGCTTTCATTTGTGTAACTCTTAATCTACATCATTAACCCTGTTTTCTGTGTCAGTCCTACTTTTTAAATTGTATATTGGACATCTTGCCTGGACATCCTTCCTGTTCTACTTCAGACTCTGCAGGCTCAAAACAAAATTAATTATCCAGCTACTGAAATCTGTTGTACATACTGTTTCCTATTTCCTCCTTCAAGCTTTGAGTTGTAGACTGGGCGATATTTCTCATTAGTTTCTGTTTTGTCTTGCTCTAGAGAAACAAAAAAAGATTTTTTAATAACTCTACTGACCAAAATAGGGTCAGGATTTTCCAGGCCATAAAATTGCTATTGTTTGTAGACTTTCTTGTTAGGGTGTATTTTTATCTTATTCTCCCTTAATTTTTCCCTCCCACTCCATTACCTCTCCTTGGTCTTCCTTCTCTTTCTCATTTTAAGAACTTAGAGACTATTTACTTTGGAACTTGACCTCAGTTGCCCAAGTTCTACCATGAAGCTGGAGGGATCCTTGACCGTGGGCCACTAGAGTGACAGCTTGTATTGGCAACAAAAATTGAAGCCGGGCAACATTTCACATATCTCAGTGCAGTTCCTGCAGTAGGTTCTTAATAAAACCCTTTTTACATGAATAAGTGAGTAAGTAGGCAAGTCTGAAAGGACTGGGCAGATCTCCAAGGTCAAAAGAGCATGATGAGATTGTGGCTAGAGACACAAGGAACCTCAAGGATTTGAGCAATAAGGAATGAGAAATTTGGACACTGAAATATTATTAAATGAATAAATGAAAGATTTTAAAGGAAAGAACAAATAGCCATTGTCACAGGTAGTTAGATATTTCCTTCTCTTAGGGAGGAGGGATAGGTATAAATGTTATTTCAGTGTAAACTTTCAAATTTAATTTTTAAAATTCGTGTTTATTTATATGTGTGGTTCCCTATGAGCATTCAGTTTGATGTAGATTTTTAATCTCTTGTTGATTTATGTAACAGTTATATTCTAATGATTTGGCCACATATCTTGAGCTATAACTTTTAACTGTTATTATAGTTCTATTTCTGTTGGATAGGAAAGACAGTAATATTTGTGTGTATAAATATATCTCTTAAATTGCACATCTGAATTACCTCACGTATGAGGAATTTTTATACATGAAAATCATAATGTGTATCTCTTCTCATAATTTGAACAATTCCTTTATAAAGAACATGTATTTTTAAGTTATAATAATAAAAAACCCTTTCTCTTTGACATGCACACAGGAAGCCTCGACCTGTCTCCCAGTTGGTGGCACAGCAGGTTACTCAGCAGTTTGTGCCCCCTACACAGTCAAAGAAAGAGAAAAAAGAGAAAGTAGAAAAAGAAAAAAGTGAAAAGGAAACAACTAGCAAAAAGAACAGTCATAAGAAAACCAGGTAAACTTGAAGAGTGTTTTACAGCTCTTTTGAAATAAAATTAACCATTTAATATTCTCTTTTAACATTGGTATATGCAAAGTGGAAGTAAAAGATTTCATCTTCTTTATTATAAAATATTATGAAAGTGTTTTTCTGAGTTTGAAAGGTAGATTAGACATTAAGCACAGAGGCCACAAATGTAAGCTTAGATGTGAGGATGCTTCCTTTTTTCTTTTTTTTTTTACTAGATTAAAAGATGTTCATGTTTGAGCTATTTCTTTTTCACTCATAAAGCCAAGAGTGATATTCACAATACTGAACAGATATTTGCATGGGCTTTAATCAGTCAAAATGGTCATGGGTCCAAGCAGAACAATCATGATGCCCTTATCAGTGCACACCAGTGGAGTAACAGCCCTGCATATAACTCAACCTTAGCTGTTATTAACTTCCTCTGTGGTGCAACCATGTCATTGCTGTTCTAAAACATCTATTTTAATAGAATCGATAAGCTCTCTGCAAAATTATGATAAAATTATAAATGCACAATTAAGAGACTATTAATTCTAGAGTACTACAATTTTTTCTCATTGAAGAAGATTCATAAATGATTGCTTTGCTTAATGTTAATGATTTGAAACATTTAGTTATATTTTTGTGGCTAGTTACACATAAATATAGAGCTTTAAACATAGCTGTATTCATTTTGTTATTTTTACTCAATTTATTATTCCTTATATGCTCAGAAAGTTGGTAGAGAGAAAAGCTTAGTTTAAAATTTTATCATCTTTTGTGTTTAGGCCAAGATTGAAAAATGTGGATCGGAGTAGTGCTCAGCATTTGGAAGTTACTGTTGGAGATCTGACAGTCATTATTACAGACTTTAAGGAGAAAACAAAGTCACCGCCTGCATCTAGTGCTGCCTCTGCAGATCAACACAGTCAGAGTGGCTCTAGCTCTGATAACACAGAGAGGGGAATGTCCAGGTCATCTTCACCCAGAGGAGAAGCCTCATCATTGAATGGAGAATCCCATTAAAGTTTATTTTCTCCAATTTCTTAGTCACTTCTCTCATACCATGCAAATACACAGATTATGCCAAGAAGTACCACATTTTCATGACAAACATATTCATGCACAATCCATAATTTGCGTTTTACATGAAATAGAAATTTATTAGAATTTGTTAGATTTTATTGCAATCTACCAAACATTTCCAGACTCAACATTTTGGTCTTCACAGTTAAAGGTGCCATGAAAATGTGGTTGAATTATTCATTATGCAGTGTTATTGGTAAGTCTATTTTCACTTTTAGTTTAGTGAATTCTAACACATAATTCTTGAATTCTCTACTATTGGCATGTAACGAATTAAAATTTTTATAACATAGTGCAAGCTGCCTAAATATGTATTATTTGAGAATTGTGAAACAAATAGTTATATGTATACAAGTCAAAGATCAACTTAATCAACTATTGCTGCAACAGGATTTTCTTAATGGTTATCCTCTTAAATACACCTGCTGGTACTTGGTGTGGCTAAATAGGAAAATTGTTATTAAATAAAGAATTTGTATGAACCATTGCCAATGTTTTTGACACATTTTACTAAATTATTGTTTCTGAATTATGTTTCTGGTTTTATCTGTTTTTTTGCTTATCTTTCAAAACATTCATTTATTGTCATGTTTACTAGCAGACTAGTAAACAATAAAACTGATTATTTAGCTTTATAATTCAGGTTTAGTGCTATTGTCATTGAACACTGGTATTTTCTGTATTATATAAAATGTTAAAATTCAAATAATTATAAGCATTCGGCAAAAAACGGAAGAGAAAAGAAATCTGCCATATTTTAAAAGCTGCAATTTTGGAAAAGCTTTAACTTAATAGTTTTATCACTGTTTCCTTGCCCCAAACTTACCCAGGGTCATAGAAGTATGAATCTAATTAATACAGAAATGGGAACTGTTGCACAGAACTGGAAAATAACTAATCTTAAATCAGTTTAATTGGCCTCCTATTAAATATAACAATTCCTATAAAATCATAGTGCCCTATTTTCAGACACAACTGCAGTTTATGCATTTATCAGTATCCTGAAATAAAAAAGTATTTACAGCCCCACTTACTATTATGTAAAATTACCAATAAAATATTTTTATGACTACCGATTTTGCATTTTTGTTTACAACTAACGAAGTATTTTATGTTGTATTTAAAAATCCAGCCTAGAAACCACACAGTACTTCTTAAATTCTCCAAGGGTCTCCTGCTTTCTCTTAGCCATTTGCTTAATGTATATCCACCAAAGGAGACTTCTGAAATATAAATGAACCTAAAGACATAACTTGAATACAAAATATCACATAAAGACATCATGGTATCATTTGAAGAAAAAAACTTGTAGACCCTGACTGATGGTTGTGATATTTGGTGGTTTCGCGTGGTAATGTGATTTTCTGTTTAATTGCAGTACTTTTTACAGGCACAATGGTACTGTCTTTTTTTGTAATATGCTAGTTGTGAAATACAGTTAATTGCATACAGTAAAAATCTGTGATTAAAACATTTATATACCTCATTCTTTAGTGTTGTTAAATGAAAAATTAAAATTTGTTTTTATTATAAGATACTTTCAATGGAACCCCAAGTAACTGATTATGTTCTTTTAAAATATGAAATTTTTTGTCTTATTTTATTCTCTGTTTTTCACATTTCAAATGTTTTATATATATATATATTCATTTTTAGACATAGTAAAAATTACAAATAATTGTAATAGAGAAAATATTCTAATTTTTAAGTCAAAACTATGCTTTAGAGGTACTGGGTCTTCTGATGATCATATACTTTCAGGATGTATTTTAAATAGACTGTAAGAGAGAGAAAAATTTGGCAGAAGATGGGATTTTTACCTGAATGGGGCATAGTCATCTTTCTACATAGCGGGGGAGACAGTATATCATGGAAATCAAGAGTCCTAACTGGTGTCTGGCGTTTGAATCCCTGTTGTAGAACCTAAGTGAGCTTGAGTAAGTTACTCAACATCACTTCTCATCTATTACAGAGGGCCAGTGATAATCATATCTAACTCATAGGGTTGTTGGGAGGATTAACTGTCAGTCTGTATAAAATTCTTAACGATTACCTGATACATACTAAATCCTCAGTAAATGTGAGCCTTTACTATCTTTATAGGTAAAATCCTATTACAAAAATGCTTTTTATAACAAAAATTATTTCCATGCCCTCTCGAATGACCGAAAGGAATTGTGTTCTCTAGGTTACGCTGAATTTTCTACATGCAGTGTTTGTTCTGATCCCAGACCACCCATCTTTCTGTAGTTAAGGGACCTGATGAGATGGCGTGCACTATGAGACAGGAGGAATGGACTGAGTTAGCTAGTTTGAAATTTTGTTTTCCTTTCATTAATCACAATTATCCTTGCTCCTTTTGTTTCGCCCTACCTCAAATACATTTCCAACCAGGAAACAGACCCAAATTCCATAAATACTTACACCTAATGTTAAAATATGCAAAAAGATTCAGAGCCTGGGCTTAGGCTGCATTTTAGCTCTGTTACATCCATTTACCCTGTGGTTTTAGCAGTGAGTTCTTTTAGCCAAATTCCATACAAAAAAGAGAATTTGGATGTTTTTCAGAGTATAATTATTACCTTATTTTGATATAAGTAAGAGTGAAGATATAATTTGAAGCATACAAGGATACATATTCTTAAAACTTTTTTGTATTACACAGTAGAAGTAGTTGACTTAATAACTTAAAGGTTTTATTTTTATTAAATGCTTTCCTAAAATTATAGTGATGATAGTAGACAAAGTGAAAACATTAACAAAGGAAGAAGAACCTCAGCTTTTCTAAGTCAATAGCATATTTATTGCCATTCTTTTAGAGAAAAAAATTCTTATTACCTGAAAAGAATGTAGTTTCTGCATATTATATGTATTAATGCTAAATGGTCTAGAAGTTTTAGTTTCTACTGAGGGCCTTATTTTACTTACTTTGTTGGTCTGCAACTTACTCTTATCTGCAATCTTTTAAAGACCTGATATAGGAACTGGGCCGTTGAGAGAAATTTCTGTACTGTACTTTGAAAATTAAGTGAAAACAGAAACGAGTGTGTGTGTGAGAAGGATAACTATAAAATAATACTGCCCCCCGCGTTCAATCCTGGGCACCTTCATGTGTCTTGATCAACTAAAATGTAAAAAAATTGAATTGTAGAAAAGTCATCAGTGACAAAAATAGCTGAGCAGAATCAAGAGACAACGAAGGTTACAGAATACAGGATGTGACTGAACATTTTGTGAAAGCAGAAGAAAAAGAATGCCCTCACTGGCTACTGAGGGCGATGAGAAATAAGCCCCACTAATATCAAAGGCAAGCAAGGAGAGGACTGGCAAAATAATGAGGGAAGAGGAAGGGGAAAATCAAAGGCAGCAAAAGAAGTAGCAGAAATTAGGAAATAAGGCACTGGGATGCAATCTGGACAATAATAGGAAGGGAGAGAGAACAAAGAGAACTTGTAGCACGTCGTCTCAGAACATTTTAAAAACATCATATGTCATTTTTGTAATGACTCAGTCATGAAAGCTTCAGTTGTGTTCAGTAGACTGTTGACTAGGGCAGCAATATGTGTAATAACTTTAGAATAATTTTCTTCAAAATCACTTCCTTTTAAGAAGCTGTCATAGACAAGTTTTACCTTGAATTATATGAAGACTTTACTTTCCTGAATGCGCATCCCTGCTAGCCCAGACAATTCCAACGTTATGTTTTTAGTGTGGCTTTGTATTTAGCTAGTGCAGCTATTCCTGCCTTTATGGAATGGGCCAATTCTGGAGCATATGAAATGCCATGAGGAGACCGGGTAATTCTATGGAAAAACCAAGTAAAGCTCTGAAAAGTTTCAGTGCTCTGGGACACGTTTCATGTTCTGAATCGTTTCTCGGTGTTCTTTTTTCTGTCAGTACAAGTTGTAGAGTGTGGTAGCTATTTTACTGTTGTAATATTTTCAGTGTTTTCCTGATCTGGGTTTCCTTTACATCAGTATTATTCAATTCAGTGCACATTTATTGAGTATATTTTGTGTGCTAGGCGCTGGGCTAGAGATTGGTTACAAAGAGGACAAAGATGAGGAATTCACATCTTAGAGATCTGTAAACGGTTACAGTGCCATCAGTGCAACAATAAAGATGTGTATAAGATACAGAAGTAACAGAGAAGAGGGAGTGCTTGCCACATTTTTGTTTCTAGAAAATTCAGCATGGCCTTAAGTATCCACTGAAAATGTTAAGATCTCATTTTGGTAGTTGCAGCTGATGATGTTGGGTATCACTGTAGTTTTAGCCAGCTACCATTTTGAATTTTTTTCACCTTGAGTTTTCAAAAGTTTAAGACTTTGAGCTATGTAATGTGAGATGATCATTTTCCTATACTAATTTTTAAAAATCAATAAACAGCTGAATGAGGTCTGCTATTGCCTTTTTGTGAAGCTATTGAGGAAACATTACATCATTCAGGATCTAAATGAGAAATCTTATTCACACCTGTTTCAGGAGAGGCTTTACTTCACTTGAGAAATCAGTTTGCCTTCTTATGGACAATGCAAATCTTTAATTGATTGTCCTCAGTTTTTCCTTTGGTCGTGAGAAATCTCAGATTAAAATTAGGCTTTTAATAATTATGTAGGACTTAATCACCTGCATGTCTAATTATAACTCGTTATTCTTGGTCTATATATTTTTCTAGATTCTGATTTTTACCTACTTATGTTTTTCCTTGTGTTCTTACAAAGTTCCTTAGATCTTTTCTGTAAATAAGGCTAAATAGTAAATGTTTTTTTTAAAATTTCAAAAAACTGCTTTATTTCAAAGTGTGAGGGTAAGCCCCAATGGGAACTTTTCGGGGCAAGGATCCAGTAAAATGAGTGCTTCCTGTCCAACTGGAATTCCTGAGGAGTGGAAATAGACGAGTTTGGCAGGTCTTGGGATTATATCCAGGTTTAGATCTGCTGACCTACCTGGAAGTAGGGAGTTTGGATGAAAGCTACCGTCTCATCTTCCTATTTCCATTAACTCTTTTAGCAAGAGAATTCAGAAACTAACCTGGGTACCAAGATTTATTGATTTAGACTTTTTCATGTGTATTATTTTCACTATCCTCATTCATAATAATAGCAACAACGAAAGGAGTCTATGTTTACTTTTGGAGTCAGCAGGATTGAGAAGAGTTGGGATACTCGGTGAAACCAGTTTGAGAGAAGACTCCTGCAGGACCAAGTGGCAGTGAAAGCATTTTTTAAAAAAGAGCAGGCCTGGTGGCATAGTGGTTAAGTTCACATGCTCCCTTTTGGCACATGCTCCCTTTTGGCACCCCGGGGTTCATAGGTTTGGATCCTGGGGCAAACCTGCACACCACTCATCAAGCCATGCTGTGGCAGCATCCCACATACAAAACAGAGGAAGACTGACACAGATGTTAGCTCAGGGACAATCTTCCTCACCAAAAAAAAAAAAAAAAAAAAGGCTGAGTTCTCAGAAGAAAAGGGCAGTGATTTGGCCTCAGGCCCAAAAGGTAGCTTTTGGTCCTTAATAAGAGAAAATAAAAACGCCTATGTTTCCAGTACAGGATAAGATAAATAATTGAAGGGACACTGTAACTTAATTAGAGCAAAAAAACCCCTTTTTTTTACTTTATTAAAAATAAAATAGAAATGTAAAAAGAAAACACATAACTGTCTAATGATATAATTTCTGTATAGAAAGGAATATGGGTAACAAGAATTCTGATTTTATTTTTCAGCTAAGCACTGGACTTCTGAAGTGTGACAATATCAGAATTATTAATTATTTTCAGCCTTCAATTTTGGGAACCTGGGTGAGGAGAGACTTATCTGTTAAAATTGTTGTCATCATGACCTTGATAGATGGCACGTTTTGGAGAACTTGTGCTTATGTGTTTTAATTCTCATTTTCCCCATGACTAAATTTCCCTGGAAATCTAGCTTTTAGCTTTACTGACAGTAATTTTTTTAGTAATAGATTATAATCTGTATTAATAGGAATAGAGGAGAGGGTTCCTGAAAGCTGAACTTGGGAGAAGTACAGGGATATCCTTAGTCCCTGCCCCACCCTGCTTCTTCGTACTCTCTCTCCCTTGTGGATGGAAATGCCAGCTAAATTCTGGGGTCATATGGGACCTAAGGTGTCCACATTCACTGGTTCTCCATTGCCACTTCTAATCTTGTGGACTCAAAAGCTCAGTTTTTTGAGAATGAAGAGAAGCACTTTCCTCTTTTATCGTACCCCTGGTCCTACTCTTTTCCCACATTTACTGGTCTGAACGAACTCTTAAAATGAAAGACTTTTTGTTCAAACTGACAGCATTATTTTTCAACTTTTTCCTCTAGTTCAACATGGTCTCTAGAAAATGGACTGTGGAAAATGGAGAAATTTCACTAGAGATGAACTGGAGGAAAGAATGATTTTCACTTTTAGTCTGAGTTTCTCATTCTTTGTGCTCTGCAACTAATCTGACTTGTATTTCTCTGTAAGTTTTATTTGTTTTAATTCCCAAGACCGGTCTAAGAGGTTTTCATATAATATTAATTTTTTTCCCTTTTTACTTTTACGTCTAATTTGTATCACTCAACTTAGCATTTATTTGTTCATAGAGAAAGAGCATGGTATTTGGGGGGAAAAAAGTGTGCTTTGGATCCTCAAAGATTTCTGTTCAAATGTTGGATTTTCATTATTAGCAATGTGGTGAACCGACTTGTATGAATTTCAGGTTCCTTGCTTTTTAAAGGAATAAAATATCTCCTACTTCTTTACTTTTAAAGATTACATTAGATTATGCATAGACCTTTATAAAGTGGAAGTTAAAAGTTTTTGAACTTTATTCTTAAAAGGTATAGAATTTACCTTTTTACCCATAGGATGTCTTGTTTTTAAAGAAGTACTGAGGGGGCCGGGCCCGTGGCCAAGTGTTAAGTCCGCAATCCACTTCGATGACCCAGGTTTCACCAGTTTGGATCCTGGGCGTGGACATGGCACCACTCGTCAGGCCATGCTGAGGCAGCATCCCACATGCCATAACTAGAAGGACCCACAACTAAAAATAGACAACTATGTTCCGGGAGGGGCTTTGGGGAGAAAAAGGAAAACTAAAATCTTTTTTTAAAAAAGTAGTACTGAAAGGTAGACCAAAGTAGGAAGAAATGTTGAGCAGGACCCCAAATTTACTCTAGAGTGACTTAGAGAAGACTTATAAAAAAATAAAAACACTCATTAACTGAATGTCTATTATATATCCAACATGTATTAGGAACTATAAGAAAAATCAAGATTAATCTTTTAAATATAAGATCCTTGTGATTTGGGTTATCCTGAATCCAAGAGTTCTCCAGATCATGGAGGAGGTTGCTATCTCCATAATTTAAACCACAAATACTGCTACTTTTAAATTTCTTTTCATCCACCTAAATTTGCCTTTTTGCGAGGAGGAAAGGAAGATCAATATTGATTAAAAATTTGGATATAGCCAGCCTGTCATTAGAGAATTAAGAGGGTGCTCTAGGGATGAAAAAATAGATTTAGGAATCCATACATACACACAGTAAATGAAAGAAATACCTAACGATTATGACATCGAAAATATTTTAAATTTTCAATACTTTAAAATTAATTTTAGGAGTATCAAAATGTAATGTGTGAATCCTGGAAATGATTAGAAGGCCAGGGTCACAGCTCCTTATACTCTACGATAACCAGTTAAGACAGTGTGGGTGTCATACAAAAATCATTTCTATTTTTGGAATGCCTTATATATTTTTTTAACAGAATTTCCTTTTTAATTCCAGTATTAAAAGGAACCTAGGAATGATATGGTCCAGAACCCTGATGTCAAGTAAATGGATGATTCTTCTGGGTATGCTCTTCCCATAAATTGTTGCAGAAATGAAAACTGCCATTCCAGTATTGTAACAATCTGTGGGTCATTACTTATTTTTACTACATTTAGTTTCTTTGTTGAAATAGAGAACAGTTGTAGTCAGTGTCTTTTTAAATTAAACATCCTTTATCTGAGTACTAGCCCTTATTCTAGTTTCTTGGTACCGTATCCTTTAGTTTTCCCTCTCAAAATCTATTTTACATTCTTACAAATGTTTTTATGATCCATCTTTGTACCTCGATAAGTTTTATCTTTCTCTAAGAGTTGTAAGGTGTAGTGGAAGGATTAACTTCATATTGCCATTGTTTTTACTTGCCTGTCTCCCCTTTAAAAGGGCAGTACACTCTTGCCCCTTGTCTGGCATGTAGAATATATTCAATAAATGTTTGTTGAATGAATAAGTATATGTTTTCATTCTATTCACACATCTCGAGAGCATGCTAGCTTTCATTTTTTTTGTCAGGTAAGGCAAGAAATTTAATCGTTATAGGGGAAGAAGCTGAGGCTTAGATTTGTCCAGTGACTTTCCTCTGGCCACAGAGCCAGCACTTTTTTGTTGTGGGGATTCCAAATGGAGAACTGCTAAATTACACAGCGTTTCCCCACTTGATCTGAGGGCCAAACTCTTCAAAGCTCCAAATGTAATTTGAACAGTTTAACAGCATGATTTTTCTCCATGAAATGTGTGTGTGCATGCATGTGTGTACGTGTGTGTGTTGACTTCCCTCTTTGACACTGTAGCTCCTTTCTGGCTCCAGCCTCAACCTCTGTCCCAGCCTCCACACTGCAGCCAGAATCTGCTCTCTAAAATGCCGATGAGATCATGTTACTTCCTTAAAAACCCTTCCGTGGTTCACCATCGTCTGCCAGATTAAGTTCAAACTCCTTGGTATACTAAACAAGGCGCTCAAATATCTGGTCCGTCAACTTCTACTCTTATCCTCTCATCATATCCTCTCTTGCGTTCACTTAGCTGGTGGCATCAAACTTCTCGCAGTTCCTCCAAGATAAGAGCCTGTTTCATGGATCCCTCAGCCTAGAACTACCTCCCTTACCCACCAAGACCCTAGGGCCACTTTGCTATGAAGTCTCTTGAATCCTTTTTGTGTGTGTGCCCACACCTTTACAGGCTTATATCCTAATGTCTGGATGGTTGTATTGCACTTATTTCCACGTATCCACTGTCCCAGCCCACGCCTGAACTAGGTGTCTTCATACCCCAAGGTACTCACAGTGCTCGGCACCTAATGATGCTCTATAAACCTTCAATAAGTGAAGGCAGTGGATACGTGTCTGAGGAAGAGGGAGAAGACATGGAAAGCTAACGAGAAAACTCTTTAGGAAGAATATTAAACAGTTTTGGACATGCAAATGAGTTGTGAGGAAGGTCAAAAAAGACGTAAAAGGAAGGACTTCAGCTTCACAGGCACTTCCAGCCTTGTTAAGAGGCAGGATATGCACGCTTAACAGCATTAGGAGATAATTAGATATCTGGGTGCAAATGGCTCGTTCAGACACTTACAGAAACTTAGAGGCTGGGGAAGTCCCTGCTGAGGAGGATGGAGCTGTAAAACGGCTTAAGCAAGTGCCTTCTAAGTGCAAGGTGTTTTTCGTGCGCTAAGCAATTTAATCTTTCTGACCAGTCTCCGATGAGGATGTTATCTCCATTTTAGAGACGAAGAAAGATGCTCAGAGAATTTAGGTTGCTCAGCAGCACAAACTACCACGCGGAAAGCCCATCCTTTGAATCTGGCTGGGCGGCCTCCACCGCCCCGTTCGCTTCGCCACACCTCCGCTCCGCCGGTCAGGGCCACGGGCTCAGCAGCGACCCGCTCCGGGGTCGACGCGCCCAGACCCCGCGGAGCCGCGTCCGCACGCCCGGCGCCGACCCGGCGCGCCCGGCCCTCCCGCGCTCAGTGCGCCGGCGCGCCCGGCCGCCCGCCCTGCGGGGAGGGGCCCGCGGCGGCGGCGGCGGCGGCGGCGGCGTCCGGGCGGCGGGCCGGGGAGTCGGCTGGGCTCGCGAAGGCGGTGGGCGGGGAGGCGAGGGAGGAAGGGGGCTGGGCGCGAGGCCGCGGCGGAGGAGGAACTTGTTGCGCCCGCGGCTGCGCGCTGCCGCTCCCTCCGCTCCAGTTCGCCCGGGCGGGCGCGGCGGCGGCGGCGGCGGCGCGGGCCGGGGCGATGCGGCGCTACCTGCGCATCGTGGGGCTGTGCCTGGCCTGCGGCTTCTGCTCGCTCCTCTACGCTTTCAGCCAGCTCGCCGTGTCGCTGGAGGAAGGAGCGGGCGGCGGCGGCGGGAAGCCGCAGGCCGGAGCGGCTTCCTGGCTCGCGGGCGGCGGACGCGGCGCCGCGGGAGGGGCGGACAGCGCGGGCCCCGCGGCGCATCCCGGCCGCTCGGACAGGTACGGTCGTTCCCTGCTCGGGGCCGGGGCCGGGGCGCGGGCGCGGGGATGGCCTGGCCCGGGCTGCTCGCCGGTGCGCCCGCGCGCCCCGCGCCGGGCCCGCGCCTCCCGCGTCCTTGCCGCCGTCTCCGAGCCCCTCCACTCATTTCCCTCCTTCCCTGGGTCCCGGGGCCAGCCCGGCGCGCCTCCGGCCCGGGGCACCCCACGCGTTTTGTGTTTGTCTTCTCACCCATTCCTTCTGCGCTCCTTAAGGCAGTTCGAAATTAATTTTCAACTTTTAATTGACAGTTGCTTTTTTTTTTTTTCTTTAGGATTCGTTGAAAATAAAAGGTGCCCCACAATAGCCTTCTTGCTCTCTGGCTGGTGCGAATTCCCTCTTGTTTCCATGGAGTTCAAGTTGAGATATTTAAACCTCAGGCTGGCGCCCTAGTTCAGTTTTTTCCTTCTCCTGCGTGGAGCGTCCCATTTTCGTGTGTTAGCGCTTAAATTTTTCATTATTAGTCTCTTAGTTAAATCTGGACAGCATTCATGCGGATTGTGAATTTTTCTTTGGAAAACAATCGGTCTGTTCTGAAACTTATAGCAAGTTAAGAAACATGAGCGGTACTTAACATGCGTCTTTTGTGAGAGGGAATAGAAGTATCTTTCTTTAAAAATCGGGATTTAAAAAGCAGCATAATGACTTGTGGTTTTACAGAAATCACTGCCAGAGTTGGAATCACCATGAGATTCAAATGGAAAAAGGAATGCAACGCATTATGAATGCTTAACAAAATCTGAGCGTTTCCACTTCCTCGAAAAATAGGCTCCTCTATTTGTGGGCATCTCTGCTCTCTTAGAAAGAGGCAAAGGCTGCTTTGATATGGGAAGAACGTATCGGGTTGGTGGGAGGAGGGAGTGCAGGTCCCCTGTAGGCTGTTTAACATTCTTCTGAGAGTTGATGGTCTTTCCCTAAATGAAAAAGGGACGTTTGGGCAGAGGAGCTGCGTGGAAATCTGGATTGTCATGTTTTTGTCCTATGAAAAATGTTTTATAGAGCCATTACTGAAATCTTAAGTTTGATGTGTCAGAATCGAGTCACCTGAAAAGCTGTATGTTACAGGTCCTCTGAGCAGGAGAACTCCTCATTTTAAATGAGGCATACATTTCAGTTAAAACTGAAAGTGTATCAGTCTTTGTGAAAATGTGGTGAAGTACATCTCACCACGTGTGCGTGTGTAAGGAGAAGTTCGGGCAGAGGAACAACATGGGAAAGCTGAAGTGCCATGTTTTTACCCTACGATTTGGTTAAGGTCAGGAGAATTCCTAAGACATCAGGACTCTTTAATTTTAGGTATTATTATTTATAACATCTTTTTAGATTTCTCATAGAGTTCAGTCATCTTTTCTGGTTGCCATGGGATATGGAGTAGGTATCCTTAACCTCTCTTCCTATGTCTGAATCCTTTGACCAAGCTCTAGAGGGCAACGGTAATTTGACCACGATTAGAAACTGTGTATCCAGCTGCTCTTTCTGTAAAGCTGCTGTGCTAAGAACCTCCTCTAAGTAGTGTTTCATCAGTGGAACACTGGGCTATGAGGCAAGGAACGTCTTCCTTTATCCGTAGGACTTGGTTATCATTGCATTCTTTTTTTTGAGCAGTCCTACCTGAAAGATTAAAACTATTGTTTCTCACTTTCACGTAAAACATAGGATCTAGGATCATACCCAGTAGCTTCCATTGGTCAAATCTTATAGAAATATTCATTGGATGGAATTCTCTGATGACGGAATACTTGGAAAGGTCCTTCCAGGTTCTCAAAGTAAAAACTCTAAAATGATAGGAACAGGTGTGTGTGTGTGTGAGTGTGTGAGGAAGATTGGCCCTGAGCTAACATCTGTTGCCAGTCTTCCTCTTTTTGCTTGAGGAAGATTGTCACTGAGCTAACATCTGTGCCGGTTTTCCTCTGTTTTATGTGGGATGCTGCCACAGCATGACTTGACGAGCCGTGCTATCTTTGCACCCAGGATCCAAACCTGCGAACCCCAGGCTGCTGAAGCAGAGCTCAAGAATTTAACCACTGTGCAACCGGGCCAGCCCCAGGAACAATTTTTTAGTGAAATCTATTATTAATTAGTGCATTCTGTTTGAATCCATTTTTTGGTGTTTAGATAGTTTGCGGGTCTTAGAGTCAGACAAACCTGTTTCTCATTCTGGCTATGTGTTTGCTGTGACACCTTGACCACCTCTCTGCTTCAGTTTATCACTGGTAAAATATAGATAATACTTACCTTACTTAATTTGTAATAGTCAGAATTCTTAGTTGTCAGTGATTAAAATCCAAAACAAAATGGATATTAATGGGCTTAGATGGGTTTCTGGAAGGAACAGAATTTAAGGAAAAATGCCTGGGCAGTTCCAGGGACCTTAAGGACTGGGAGCTCTTATTCTCTTCCGCTGTAGACAGGCTTTGTTCCTTGGGTCTTTCTGCTCCTCGCAATGCTGCTTCTCTCACCTCAAATAGAAAATTCTAGGGAAAGGCTCTCATTGGCCTTGCTTGTATCACGTGCCCACCCATGGACCAATCAGCTTTGCCTGGGATGAAGGATCTCTGCTGCTCTGGCTCTGTGTTGCTTGCACATCCCTGTGGTGGACAGAGTGACATGGTTGGTGTGGGAGAGGAGTGGTGCCTTAAAGGAGGGCGGTGCTGGCTAGGCAGTAGCTCTTCCACAGAGACAGACTCTTAAGCTGGTCAGTACGGACAGACTGTGAAGGTGTGCAGTCTAAAGCGGTTGTTATTACCAGGCATCTGTACTTCTGCAGGAGGAGTTACACCATTTTGTGACTTTAGCTACTCCGGGTGATTCAGTTCCCACATTTCATTGAGGAATCTTGACGGTGATTATCAAAATTTCAGCCTCTTGTGGCTCAACAGCCGTGTGGTAGTGGGGAACCCAGAAACGACTAAGCATTAGAATGATACCATATCTGGGACCTGTCATGCCCTTTGTGTGGAGTCATCTCTCTCTTTTTCAATCTCGTTTGGCCATCGAGTTGTTTCTCCTGGGTCCTGTGAACACAAGGCGGAAATACTGTGAATTTAAAGAGTGGAAAGAGTAAGGGCTTTGGAGACACAGGCTTCAGCTTTGCCGCTTATGGCTGTGTTCACCTTGAACACATTTCCTCATCAGTTAGATAGAGACGAGAGTGTCTATGGTATTGGGTAGCTTGTGAGAATTGAAAGGAAATAGCTTGTATAGATTACTGAGCCTGGTGCCTGGCACAATAAAATTGTAGCTGATATGGTGATCATTTTGATCATTTAAATTTTAATTGATTCTTTCCAATTCCTGACCTCTGGATGGATGGTCCAGGATGCCTGGCAGTGGGGTCTGGGAATCTTTTAGATCCCCACTCCAGGTTATTGGGATAAAACCAAAGATTGAGAACCACCGATTTAGCCGAGAATTGTTAGACCACTATTTTCACACTACTTTGTTAGTGGAGATCCCCCCCACCCCCCGCAATTATTTTTGAAGAATAGAGGAATTGGGGCAGTGAACAGTGAAGAAAGCTGAATTGCTTAACTAAAACCACCTGAATCTCTGCTTGGTTAATACCAAGACATCTCACATAAAACCGATACTCTGCACCTTGTATTTTAGTTCATTGAGGATCATACTTCACATGGTTGTAAGTGCTTAGCACAAACCTGACTAGTAATTAATTCATTAAAATAGTATCGTTCTATGCTTTTGGGGGGGAAACTGCTTAGGCTAATGAAAAAATGTGTACTTTTGATTTACAAGTCCTATTGTATTTATTTTATTTCTTACTTATTTTTTCTGCTTTTTCTCCCAAATCCCCCCAGTACGTCATTGTATATATTTTAGTTATGCGTCCTTCTAGTTGTGGCATGTGGGACTCCACCTCAGCATGGCCTGATGAGTGGATCCGAACCAGTGAAACCCTGGGCCACTGAAGTGGAGCCCGCGGACTTAACCACTCGGCCAGGGGGCTGGTCCCACAAGTCCTATTTTAAAACGTTAAGATTATCATCTATTTGTCGTACCTGGTGGAAATACTTCCCCGACATGTTGACTTAAATTTTTTTTCAGTGTGTATACATGGTGAAGTTTAAAATTTTTATGTATTCAGATTGGCAGTTTTTTTCCTTTATTGTTTTTATTTTTGTCATGCATAGAAAGACTTTCTACCGGAAGGGTTTTTTCCCCCACTTCTTTAACATTTAAATCTTCAATCCAATTTTTGGGGGGAGGGGGCAGCAAAAGGGTGATGCTGACTTAATTTTGAAGTGGTGAAGTCATTGTTCCTTGCCATTTGTTTATAAAGAGTCCTTTTCCCACTTCCTTAGTATTCATGAAAGTAGAGATTTAAGAAAAAGAAGTGAAGACCTGACTTAGAGTTAGAAATTAATTTAAGCAGTCTGGAGATGATTTTTAGTTGAAAATGAGTGACCTGGGCCCTGACCTTCATATAATGGTGCTTTGTCAGTATCTTGGGAGCGGTGTCCATTACTGTGGCTGGAGCTGCCTCTGCTGCTCTCGCAGCACAGTGCAGTGTCTGCGCCTGGAACTTGCCTTCGTGGCTTGCTGCCCTTCGTTCAGACTCACTCCCACATTCTTATGCTGGATATGCCTAAACTTATCCCCGACTCTGAGTTGTGCATGGTTTTCACCAAAGCCTCATGACTACCATGGACAGTCTGAAATGAAAAATACCTGTTCCAGTTTAATTTAAAAGTATATAAGACCTTCTGTTATTGGATTTAAGTAAACTTCAATCATGAGAACTGTTACTGTGGAGAGCGTTGTTGTTAAATGCTCTGTTTAATCCAGAGCATGAACTGTCTCAATTTTTGAAACAGTTTTCAAGTACTGAAATTTTGGGGAATTTTGTTTTTGATCAGGTTTTTTTTTTTTTTTTTTTTAACTTTTGAAGTAAATATAAGTTCACAGGAAGTTGCAGAGACACCCCACCCCATGTACCCTTCACTCAGTTTCCCCCAATAGTAACATCTCACATGAGCATAGTGCAATACCACTGTATCCAGAATGTATATGTGTTAATCTAGGGCAATGTTCCAACCCCAGAAATTGACATTGGACAACCTCTAGACCTTATTCAGATGTCACCAGTTTTACATGCTGTCGTGTGTGTGTGTGTGTGTGTGTGTGTGTAGTTTTATCACATATGTAAATTTGTGTTACCACCCCTACAATCAGAATACAGATCTGCTTTCTCACCACAGAGATCCCATGTGCTGCCTCCTTTGAGTGGTTTGCTTGTAGACAGGCCACCTAGAGCTAGAAACATTAAGCCATATGAAGTTTGAGGATGAGCCATAGTCAAGGTTTATTTCAATTTGATCCACAAGGAAAAAACTTTGCGTTTTTAGACTTCACTGAATTTGGATGTCTCTGTAGACTGAAGGCATACCCACTTGGCTCAGCTTACAGTTTTTCTCCTATTAAAATTATTGAATAGAGTTACCTCTTTGAATGCTGTATATCTAATGTTCCATTTCCAATAGTTTTAAGAAATAAAAGCAAAAATCCCACAACTAGAAGGACCTGCAACTAAAATATACAACTGTGTACAGGGGTGGTTTGGGGAGATATAGCAGGGAAAAAAAAAAAAAAGAATGGCAACAGTTGTTAGCCCAGGTGCCAATCTTTAAAAATAAATAAATAAATAAAAGCAAAAGCAACTAATAACCAGAGCTTGGATAACTGCCTTTACTTTTTGAATATTTTTAAACTTTGGGTTTTTTTCTGGCCTGAAAATATAAGTGCTATCCAGATTAGTTGCTTTTCCTAATTTATTGTTTGCAATAACAGTTACTGGTACATCTTGAGTTTCTAATCTCTGTCTTGATCTTTAAAACTAATTTTGCATAAGTGAGAGAATGTAAATTTGGGAGATAAGAAACTTTATGTTACCCTCTTGCCAGCAGCACCTCAGTATTTTATGATTTTTTTTTTTGAGGTGAGGAAGATTGGCCCTGAGCTAACATCTGTGCCAGTCTTCCTCTGTTTTGTATATGGGATCCCACCACAGCATGGCTTGATGAGTGGTGTGTGGGTCCATGCCCAGAATCTGAACCCGTGAATCCTGGGTGGCCGAAGTGGAGCACACAAACTTAACACTATACCACCAGGCCGGCCCCTTTGATTTTTTTAAATAGTAAGCAGCGTGTGTACTCACTAGTGTGTGTGTTTTATACTTCCATTAATGAAAGACAGAAAGAAGACCATCCTGTCTGTAAACTGTGTTTTCTAACATTGAGTTATGGTCAAGAAACTTACCTAAAACTTGACTTTTTCCCTGCAATTTCATCTGCAGTAATTACTTTACAGTGATTACATGATCTAGCAATTCCACTTGTAGGTGTATCATCAAGAGAATTGAAAATATGTGTTCACAGAAAAGTTGTACATGAATGTTCATAGCAGCATTATTTATAATAGCCAAAAAGTGGAAAACAACCCAAATGCCTATCACATGGTGAATGGGTAAACAATATGTGGTATGTCTATCCATCAAATGGAATATTATTTGGCCACAGAAAGGAGTGAAGGGTGCTGGTAAGTGCTCCAGTGGCTGAACCTTGAAAGTATTGTGCTAAGTGAAAGAAGTCAGGCTCAAAAGGCCACATACTGTATGATTCCATTTATGGGGAATGTCCGTAACAGGCAGATCTCTAGCGACACAAAATAGGGGTTGCCTGGGGCTGAGGGATTGCCGAGTACAGGTTGTGGCAGAAAATGGTATTGTTACATAATTTCAAGCAATAATTTTTACAGAAAAATTTGAGATTTCATTTTCCATTTTCATTTTCTATTGTGGTAAGGTTCAACAGCGGGAGGTGGACTAACCCGATTAGTTTTCCTTCCTGGAACAAAGGTGCACTTTAGGTGTTGCTTACAAATAAATCGTGGATTTGTTGAGAGTTGTGATGATAGCTGTATCTGAAAGATGGAGATAGCTATTCTGACAGGTTTGTTGTGAAACTTAAAATGGCTGTGAAAGTACTTAAATCTGAAAAGATCTCTCTGTTAGCTGTTACCCCTGCCACTGAGCCTGTCTCCAGCACGAAATGCAAGGCTTAAAAAATACATAACCATGGCTGGGAGGGGACAAACATAACTTTCCTGATCAAGTTGTTTGTTTTACTGGTCTGCACATATTTTCTTTCCTTTTTCTGATTTATCAGCTGTTTACAATCTGTAACATTTTATGCTGTGTTTGAAAATGGTGTCCCTTTAAAGGAAACCCAAATTACAATGTATCTTTTTTCCATAGATTTAAAAATTCCGGCTTTGCAGTTTTTTATGCAGTAGTACAACAGAATTACTCAGGCAGCATTTAAACAACCCTCAGGGCCTGCCCCAGTTCCCAGAGATTCTGACTTAGGGGCTCTCCGGGTGATTTCCTTCCGCAGCCTGGGTTGAGACCCCCCTCTCTTAGACTGTTGACGTTTATGAGAGATATGATTAGAGATCTTTGCAAATCTGAAATTTCTTAAACCTTTCGCTGTAAGAACAGTAACTTATAATGGAATTTATAGTGGGGGGAAAAGCTTCCTGGGGATGGCACATGGGTTAGTGACTCCCCCCACTTCATTCTGCCTCCTGTAGCACCCAGACTGCCACTGTAGTGAATTTCAAACTAGACTGTTGTTTCGAAAGGAATGACAATGAAAAACATAACTTTCATAATGTGAGGCATTGCTGTTTGTTTAGGTTTTTTTTTTTTTAGCTCCAACCTGCAATCTAAGAAGAAAGATCACACTTTATCCTTCATTTTAGCTTGTGTAATATAGTGAAACTGAGATAGTGTAGGTAATGAAACTGAAGCATGAATATCAGCATGATTTCTTGGTTTTCAGTTTGAAACACCATACAGGTAGCTTGGATTGAGGATTAATTTAAAAGCGTTTAGAGATCCTTTCTTCCCCAGTATTTGTAGCATTTTTTTTTTTTTAAGGATTGGCACCTGAGCTAACAACGGTTGCCAATCTCTTCTTTTTCCTGCTTTCTCTCCCCAAAGCCCCCCAGTACATAGTCGTATATATCCTAGTTTTGGGTCGCTCTAGTTGTGGCATGTGGGACGCCGCCACAGTACGGCCTGACAAGCGGTGCCATGTCCGTGCCCAGGATCCGAACCCGCGAAACCCTGGGCCGACGAGGTGGAACGTACACACTTAACCACTCGGCCATGGGGCCAGCCCCTGTAGCATTTTAAGTTTGCTTCAGGATAAGCAGATTTTTTTTTTAGGCTGAAATGGATTTTATTCTAGGGGGAATATGTGTAGTGCATGAAGGAAAATTTTAGAAGTATTTCCATATTTTCCGTGTTACCTGAGGAGGGGGTTTTAATATATTGGGAGAGTTCCTGACTAGAAAACTATTTTCCAGTCTGTGTGGTGTCTTCTATCTAAAGGTTTTAAAGTTCTATTTAAAATAATGGTACCCTAAGTCAGGGAGAAATCAATTTCCAGAAATCCTCAGGTTACCATAGCAATCTTGGATTTGCAAAGTTGGATTTGCAGTTTTGTTGCTGTGAAATAGAACAATAAGTTATTATGTTATTGAGTAATTCTTTGTTAGTTTTAAACCGAATACTCACATAGGCCTCTCCTTTGTGTCTTACTCTGTCAGGTGTAAAGATTTCTCTCTGTGTTACTGGAATCCCTATTGGATGCTGCCCTCTGATGTTTGTGGAATGAACTGCTTGTGGGAAGCGGCTCTTAGGTAGGCACTTAATATTTAATTGGTAGATCAGTGTAGGTAAGATTAGATAGTAGATAATAAATTTTTGACTGTAATAGGACGTAAAAATGTTTCTTTCCCTGTAATTTAATACTATCATACAAGTAAATAATTCATTTTCTGATTGGGTTTTTCTATTCCTTTTTCCCACTTTGTAGTTGTTATCACTAATTTTTAGTGCATACTGTGTATAAAATGCTTTACATTTTTTTAGATGTTATTAAGATAAGCCATTGTTTTAGGATAATTTATGATCTAATGTTAGGTAACAGGTGATAAAGTGATAAACAGGTGATCAAGATAGACTTCCACTGACATGTACAGACACATATATGGCATTTATCTAATTTAAAGCTGGTATGCTGAACATTTTGTAGGTGGATGTGGACCGGTGGGGAAGGGTTATGTTGGTTATTAGCAGAGATTGAATATTGGGGAATGTGAAGATAAAGATAAGTGTTTAATGATGGAGCAAACTATATGACATTGTTTATTGACCTTTTAAGTTACTGAATAGCTTGGCTTTCTTCATTGATCTGGATAGTGAAGACACTGGATTGGCTGACCTCTCAGGTCCCTCCCTGTTCTAACCTTTATTGAAGGAAACAAGTGTCAATAGGAATGGGATAGCAGACCATCTCCCTGAGACAGTGGCAGGGGAGAGTGAGGCAGTAGCTTGAAATGCTCTTCCCCAGAGTAAGATTTCTTTGAGAGTCACCTTTTTTTACTGTATTTTTATGATTCACTTAAATTTGAATTCTACTCATTGCATTTCCCAGACACAGTGCTAGGTGCTAAGAACCAGACTCGGAGCTTGGTTAATGTGGCTCCATCCTTCTGGAGCTTACATGCTGATGGGAGCGCCACACTAGTAAACCTGAGATTACAATAGAGTGGCAAGTTGTAGCTATGATGATGGGAGAAACAGGTGAGTTTTCAGGTGAGGGTCATTTTAAGGCATCAGAGAAGGCTTCCTGGAGGGAGTGACTACCTGATGAACAAGAAATTAGCCAGGCTCAAGGACAGGAGGTGAAGTATTCCAGTTGGAAAGAACTGCATTCTTAATGTATATTGGTAGTATGTATTTTCAGATTCTTGTGTTCCTAGTACATTATGCATCCAGTGAACAACTTGGGAGGGAATCGTTGAAATCAGATATTTTAATTATATCTCGTTGCTATGGAAAAGATTGGGTGATTGAAATTCTAATGTGGGTCAGTCAAGTCAGATTATTCAAATTTTTAAAAACTAGCTTTTTAAAGATAGTCTTACCCTTCAGCTTGTTCATAATTTTGGAGAATTGGAGCTCCATATTTTCATTCTTAGAAAAGTTTGCTAATGAGTGGAGATTGACAAACACCATTGTGCTATCTTGAGCCATGCGACATAAATCTACTCCCTCTGGGAGCTGGGTAAGCTTGAAAACTTTTGTGTACTCTGATTTATACACCCCAGCTGTTTTGTAAGTTACAGCGTGAGTAATAATTCTTCCCTCCTCCTCGACTGCAAGAGGACCCCAGGGAAGTGGACCTCATCCGAATCCTGCGGCCTCTGCTTATTATTCCTTTCATTTTGGCTTCTCCAACTCATTATTTTCCTAATGCTCCCAAGTACTTCTTGGTAGGAATTACTTGTGGATGGCTACATAATGTTGTAAACCCTCATGCTTGTCACTCTCCTTAATTTGAGATTTTATTTTTTTAATTAATTAATTAATTAACTTATTTGAGAAAGATTAGCCCTAAGCTGACCTCTGCTGCCAATCCTCCTCTTTTTGCTGAGGAAGACTGGCCCTGAGCTAACATCCGTGCCCATCTTCCTCTACTTTATATATGGGACGCCTGCTACAGCAGGGCTTGAAGCAATGTGTAGGTCCACACCCGGGATCCAAACCAGCGAACCCCGGGCCACCAAAGCAGAATGTGCAACCCTAACCACTGCACCACCAGCCAGCCCATACTTTGAGATTTTAAAAGTTACGCCTCTCTCTTAACTCTACTTGTAATATTTGCATCCATGGTATATATCTGTAACCTTCTTGTTAGATATATCATATTGTATAAAATCTCTTGAACTTAATTTCTTACTTAGAATTTAGGATCCCTCACATTTAATGGCTCTCTTCAAACATACAGGTAAGCCAGAATGCCTTCCAGTTGCCATATCATTCTCACCCACCATTTCAGTGTTTAAGTAATGTCTCATCTTGGTCTGACTCTAAGAGCTTCCCTGCCCACCTGGTAAAGCTTCAGTGAAATTCCCCTTTCCTCCCACCTTAGGTCTCACATTTTGCCTGACACCAGTGCGCCCTCGGCTATCACTGTTTTCTTCTCCCCAGGCCAGTTCCAGCCTTCCCAATTTGAATTCTTCACATAATTTTATTTTAATCAAAGCTTATCTAGGGGATTATTTCCTCCCAATTTATTATACAGTGGACATAACCTAGAAAAGCAAAATTGCCTCCGGTCCTTGAAACCGAGCCAAATGCAAAATCCCTGCAACAAATTTCTTTCAGCCCTTTTTCCTTCAGGCATTCTTCTTTCACTCTCTTTCTCTTCACCAGCAAACTTCTTATAAGAGTATCTACTGGCTTTATTTCCTTAACAACAAAAAAACTTCCCACCTTGACACCTGACGGAAACCCTGCTGTCACTGCAGTCGCCTCTGACCTCGGAATTGTTCTTCTGGGGCCTGATCGTCCTTTTCTTGTCCGTCTGACACTGGTTACCACTTGCTCTTTCTTTCTTTCGACTCTCTCCTTCTCTGGCTCTTGAGGTGTCTCAGCCCTTTGCTCTCTCTGCCCCTGGACACCTCTCCCTATTCCGGACTCCTAAACACTGATGTTCTGCAGCACTCTGCTCTTTCTCTCTCCACTCCATGGATAGTCACAGGGTAGTCTGGTTCACTGATGTCTTCAATCCGGAGAACTGTATTTCCAGCTGCATCTCAGTCATTTTTACCTGGCTGATTCAGATGCCTCAAACACTCTTGTTCAAGCCTGTATTCATGGTCTAGCATCTCACAGCTTCCCTCGTCTGTATTTTGTATCCTGGCTGACGACTGACTTTCCGCATGTCAGTCCACAATGACTCTTCTTACCTGTCTCCTTCCACGCTGTTGCTCCTGACGGCCTCTTCCTTCCTGATGCCTTAACTACGAGTTCATCACTTCTTATCCAGCTCGTATGATCTCCCTTCCCTGCCCTCCTCTTCTCCCTTCTCTGTATCCTCTGCATCACTGTACTCACCACATCTGTTGTAGTTGTGAATCTTTATCCACTTCTAGACTGTTGATTTTGCATGTAAGTACCACCTGGTGTTCATCATTTAAGCTCCATGCCTAGCAAGGTGCTTGGTAACCAGTAAATAAGCAATGATTTTCCCCAGAATTTCCAGACTAGCTTGGATGTGTGTGTAGTGAGCTTCCTTAGCAATCTTGACTTTTTTTTCTATTTTAGAAATTAACATGCCCTGTAATTAAATCTTTAAAAATTCTGTGTTTTCACAACAGGCTGTAAATTGTGTGAGGTTAGGATTGTGGCTTTCTTGCTTGTCCCCAGTGTCTAGCATATGAAAGGAGTTAAAATATTCATTGAAAAGAATAAATTATCTCACTAAATTGTGTTCTACAAATTATATGGATTTTAAGCCTGCGCCAGCATTGTATGAGTGTGCTGGTGTCACCATAACCTTAGCATTAGTGGGAGATAGAATTTTACCACTGATTAGGGTAAAATGATAGCTTATTATTGGTTTATATTTCATTATTTGGTGAACATATATCCATATTTACTTAACTTTTTGACCTTTTATTTGTATTTTCTGTATTGATATTTACCTGTTTTTAATGCTTATTTTATGAACCCTTAGAATGATATATTCTCCTTTTGCCATTGGTTACAGATATTTTCCTCATTTGTTTCATTTTTTTATGTTATCTTTTCATTCTGCAATATCTTAATTTTAGTATTATTTTCAAATTCTGTTTTAATGTACTAATTTTTCTATGACTTAAGCTTTTAAAATATTTGATCTTTCTTTTTAAGTGGGAATTGATTTTCAACTCACGGAGTCTGAGGTTATAAGTGATTTAGTGTTACCTGTATTATGTCGAGTGGTCCTATGCTAGTTTTAAGAGAGAGATTTTTACAGATTATTTTAAATTGTGTTTTAGCGATTAATACTTATATTTCATGTTGAACTTTTAAATTCTCTTTTTTATGTTTTGTGTGAAACCCTGAAGAGTGGTTTTTTTTAAGTATTATATTTGTTTCAAAAGTGATTTATATACCACTCTTTAAAGTAGTTTTACCTAGTATAACTAGGTAAATTCATACTATTCAGCACAACTCATCTTTTATAGTAAGAGGAGAAACTTTTTTTTTTTTTTGAGGAAGATTAGCCCTAAGCTGACCTCTGTTGCCAATCCTCTTTTGCTGAGGAAGACTGGCCCTGAGCTAACATCCGTGCCCATCTTCCTCTACTTTATATGTGGGATGCCTACCACAGCATGGCTCTATAAGTGGTGCGTAGGTCCGTACCCAGGATCTGAACTGGCAAACCCAACTGAAGCGAAACATGCAAACTTAACTGCTATGCCACCTGGCTGGCCCAGAGAAAGATTTTTTTTTTTTTAATTTTTTTTTTTTTCCTTTTTCTCCACTGAGCCCCCCGGTACATAGTTGTATATTCTTCATTGTGGGTCCTTCTAGTTGTGGCATGTGGGATGCTGCCTCAGCGTGGTTTGATGAGCAGTGCCATGTCCGCGCCCAGGATTCGAACCAACGAAACACTGGGCCGCCTGCAGCGGAGCGCGCGAACTTAACCACTGGGCCACGGGGCCCGTCTCTGACTTATTTTTCTTAAGAAGGTTTATTATACTTCTTGTCTCTGTGTAGAGAATTCTGTGCAAAACAACACATGACTGTTACGGCTTCATTTTTAAATCTCTTGACTTTTACCTCTGGGGCAGGATCTAGTTACGGCCGATTAAGCGATCAGCCCGTTATAGCTTCTCAAGTCTTGGTGCTTTAATGAGGACCTTTATGCCATCATGAGAAGTAGGATCTGGAGGCATTCACCTGAAGGATGATGAGATAATTGAGAGCTCTGTGCAATTATGTCTCGATTGCCTTGTCTTTTACTTGTGTCATTGTGGCTTCCACTGATTTAAGATGAACTGGCTTCACATCCCGTTGTTATCGGTATAGAAAGTGTAGATGTCTAGTCTCCGCTCTGATACAGTTTCAGTGTCATAAACTGAGGGGCTTGACAGAAAAGAGGGGAACAGATATAGGGTGCAGACAGGGGAGGAGGTGCTACTTCTTTCTAATTGCCGTCAGGGGAAAAGAGTGGAGAGCTTTAACAAGACCCAGGCTTGTGCTGAGACTAGATATATGGAAGGAGAGGCACAGGGTGGGAAAAGGATGAATTCCATGGTAACTCTGTCACAGATGACGTCTGCACAGTCAGAGAGCCGTGTGCAAATTTACACGATTGTCCCCTACCTCAAACTATTCGTAAAACTCAATTCCTAGTAGATTAATCTGAATTTTAAGGGCAAAGTACATACCTAATATTATATCTTAACTTAATGATAATCTTAATATCTGGATGAAGAATGAAATATCACCACTGCTTCTGGAATAGTCATAGACTTCTTGCAACAACAACACTTTATTTGTGACTTCTCCACCTAATACCATTAACAAAGTGTATAATAATATTTAATTTTGTGAATTATCTGGGGGAGGATTCTTTTTCTTAAAAGCAGGGTTTTTAAAATTGTTTTTAAAGAACCTCACCTATAGAATAATTGGCCCTTTAGCCTGAACAAATGGCAAGTTCTCAAGGTATTGAGGAGTCTAAGTTTCCCTCCCAGGAGAGGGATCAGGGAATGCAATGACCTCACTCTTTTCTAGGGTATAATATTTCAGCTGAAGAGCTTTTCTGCTCCCCTGCTGAAGGCTGACCATTACTAGTAATTGTGTATGTGAGAGATGTCCCACGTGAGAGAAACGAACCCATTTTCGGGCCTCAGGAGCCCAGGCAGACTGGAGTAGCATCAGTCAACTGCTGTCGTAAACATCTCCAGGCCCTTCACTAAACAGGCTGGTTAATAGGAATGGATAGATCCACAGTCAAAGCAGGAGCACATTATATATATATATTCAGACTTTATTTTTTTTCTATTAATATAAAATAATTCCAAATGTTTTAATGTTAAAACATTAAGATATGTGAATTTGATATTCAAGCATGTTTTATATAGTCCCTTGTTTGTATTTAATATTACTTAGTATGATTTTCTGTTTCCTGATATCCTGGTCAATTGAGGAGCACCCAGGAGCAAGAGCAAGATTTTCCTCAGGAAACACTTCTAGGTCCACTCTCACACAGGGACCTGTGAATACTCAAGATTCCAAAGTCCTGTGCTAACGACATAACTACAGTAATTTTAGCTTGTAAATTTAAGAAAAACGATTAGTCACCCATCCCTGCTACTGTAAATCTCAGTAATGTCTACATTACCACTGTTAACGTTAATATAATTTCTAATTCTTACACATTTTACAGAAAGCATCTCTGTAAGCAAAAGTTGAGTTAAAGTCAAATTTGCGTGTTTCTGGGTCAGACTTTTGTACTCTATAATACTTTAATGTGGTACTAGTTTCATGTTGTCTTTGTTTCTTACATTCCTTTAGCTGTCAGTTCCAAAAAGATGATTTTATGCCATAATTACAGATGAGATCTTTATTTTATATTATAAATCTATTAGTTCATAGCAGTGCAGTCACACATAATTAGTCTCCGTGTTAAGAGAGTCTGGCGTAGCCTGGACAATGACTTGGGTTGAGGAATCTTTCCTTCCCAAAAGACATACCAGTGTTTGATTAGTATGTGCTAGCCCATCCCAGGAATTTTTACCTCTCACTGATTGCTTGGTAAATGGGACCAAATGTGTGTCAGTGACAAAAGTAATGTAAAGGAAACTTTTTCTCGTAATCAACATGGTTGAAGACTGGACGTAATATTGAACTATTTATGGGTGAATTTATGTCTGGGTTTGATTCAGAATGACCCGTTGGTTCGTGGAGGGGAGTGCGGGGAGGTGTTTTAGATGAAATAAGAATGCCTTGGAATGTATATTTGTTGCAGCTGGGACATGGGTACATGAGGATTTATTGTATTTGCTCCACTTTTGTGTTTAGGATATATATATTTTTTTTGAATAAGAAGTTTTTTAAAAATTTGAAGGGGGACCTTCAAATCAGTGATGCTCCCTTTCTCAGTTGCGGAGTTGCAGTGAGGAGTAAGCCCTGATGCCCAAGGACATTCAGTGAGTAATGAATTAACTTCTCACCTGTACGTCTAGGTTGGCACTGGTTATGTCCCGGTCTTGGGAGAGCTGAGAAAATAGTCATTTTCTGTGTTCTGTGGTTGCTAGGGAGGAACATATGCTGAGAAAGGCTGGTTGAGAGTATAGGAATGTACAATTGATTCAACATTGTAACGTGGTAATCTGATGTGTCTTTGCTCTTTAAGTAGAAGTTTCAAACTTCAGTTTTTGAACATGATCCAAATACCACGTTGTAAACATGTTACCCTATACTAAAACTGTTGGAAAATGTGGTTTTCTTTTCTATTAGGTACAATCTGAAAATACAGCCCGTTGAGAGAATGCACCTAGCTGTAGTTGCCTGTGGTGAAAGACTGGAAGAAACTATAACCATGTTGAAGTCAGCTCTAATTTTCAGCATCAAGCCTCTTCAGTTCCATATTTTTGCAGAAGATCAACTACATGATAGTTTTAAAGGCACAGTAAGTATCTGAGACTTAGTCAAGACCGTAGAGCTGACAGTTTAATGGTATGCTATAACAGAATGTTATTTCATTCCTGCGTTGAGCAAAAATATTTATTCTGTAACTCTGCCCTCCTAGAGTGGGAAGTGCTCTCTGCTACCACTTCAATCTGAAGAGTCCAGATCTAGGATCTAAGAGGAAGGTTTGTTTTTGAAAAGGAGTGGGCTACTTAAAGTCCTTTGCCAAGCTTGGAGGTTTTGTTTTACTGACTGTAGTTCCAGGATGTTTTGACTGAGAAGTCCTATGATTTAATTTTTTTCCTCTCCTTGGCTTGCGAGTATCTCAACCAGAGTGTGCACAAAGGTTTTAATTCTCTTTTGAGGGGAGGGAATTCTTGATTGACAATATGGAGGGAAGTGGCTTCTTGCTCTAATAAAACAAAGTTCTTTATTTGGTTGGTATTAGTTACAATTAATTTGGCTGTAATGGCAGAAAATGCAAAATAACAGTGGCTTAAATAAGATAGAAGTTTATTTCTCTTTCACATAAAAGTAGGCAGTCTGAGGTATGTGACAACTCCACGTCTTCAGAGAGTCTGACTTCTTTCTTGTGGCTGAGCCATCTTTAACATAAGGCTTCTACCTCATGATCCAAGATGGCTAATCATGCTCCAGCCATCACACCCATATTCTAGCCCATGTGAAGGAGGAAGGACTGAAGAAGGGCAATCCCCTCCTTCCTTCTAAGGGCACTTTCCAGAGGTTGCACGTGACATTCCTGCCAGTATTTCATTGGTCTGAACTTAGTCATGTGACCATACCTAGCTGTGAGAGTTGAAAATATACCCTTTAATCAGGGCAGCCACGTAACCTCCTTAAGATCAAAAAAAAAAAAAAAAATACCATGCAAGAAGAGGAGAACAGATACAAGGGAGAGAACGCATAAGAAAAAGAAAATTCACCTGAAATCTCAAATCTCACTACCTTTTGTTCTGAGATTGGTGGTAAAAATGGTGATAATGACTATCTCCGCCCATCTCTGTCTCTGTCTACACTAAATTAACCTTTGAAACTGAATTGAATTTTTATGCTTGGTCTAACAGCAGGAAAAAAAGTGTATTTCATGATTTTTCATCATTAGTTCATTTTGCATATTGAGTGAAAAATACAACTTGGGGCCTCAAGTCTTTTAGTTTTCTGCCAAAATCCTTGATTCCTAGAGGTATAAAGTTTTAACTATTTAAAAATATTTCTAGTATCTGTATTTTTTAAATGTACTTTTGTGGTCTTGATCTCTTAATCTGGATTGTTTTCTAAAATATTAACTGATGAATTAATCTGTCTTAACAGTTCAGAGAATAGCAACAGATTGCTACTAACTGTGGAAACCTTTGAAAATGTAATAAAAAAGTAAAATAAATTTATAGCTTCATCTTATATGCATCCTCTGTGTTGTATTCAAATCTGGCCGAGTTCCTGCTTGTGTACTATATACTATATGGTAAACTCAGTTTAGCTCTCGTAGTCAACTCTAAGAATCTTTGGTTTTGCTTGTGATGAAAGAGTGTCAAATATTTGTGGAATATGCTTTTACTGCAAACAAGATGATTAACTACTAGTGTTAAATAAAAAGTGACTAAGATTTCATTTTGAAATTGATATTGAAAGGATCTTTACGTGATTTATAAATTGCACAGGGAAACTAACATGCTAGTGTATTAAACTAATTACCAGAGACTTCAAAGCAGAGTGTTGGAAGTAAAGATAGTGCCTTAAACTATGGCAGAAGGCACTAATGGTTTTAAAAATTGCTTGAACACAGTAATAATGCAAAAAGAAGGACATCTTCAGTCTGTTACATAAACTACTTCGTCTTTTCTCCCCCTATAAATAATTTGCAAATGCTCTGTAAGAAACTTGAATCAACAATTCTGTTGGAGCAACCTTGATAGGTAATACTTAACTCAATTTGAAACATTTCAGTATCTTGAAATGCATTCAGGACACCAAAGAGGAAATGTGTTCATTATAGATTTTCAGATCTATTTTCCTTTTTGTAATGATTTTTTAAAAATTGGCATTGGGGGCTGGCCCCGTGGCCGAGTGGTTAAGTTCGCGTGCTCTGCTGCAGGTGGCCCAGCGTTTCGTTGGTTTGAATCCTGGGCGCAGACATGGCACTGCTCATCAAACCACACTGAGGCAGCGTCCCACATGCCACAACTAGGAGGACCCACAATGAAGAGTATACAACTATGTATAGGAATAAAAAGGAAAAAAATAAAATCTTAAAAAAAAAAAAGTAGAAAAAAAAATTGGCATTGGATGTATATTTATTAGAATATTTTATTATCAGGAATAGCCATGCATATTAAAACCACATAGATGGATAAATATTTTCTAATCAGTTTCATATTGGTCTGACTTGGAATGTCAACATTTTCTCCGTCATACATCCTATGGGGATGAAATTAGTGCTTAATTTTTCTGAGTTTCATTTGTCTGGGGATTGGAGGATTTGTACATCAGATAAAGTTGAGGGGGATGGACAACTCGCAAGGCTCTGTCAACGCCCTGATTTTGTGATGGATATCTTTATAACTTTATTGTGCCTCAGATCTAAAGGGTGGAGTCTTTCTGGCATATTACTATCATTTTAAAGTTTTGAATGAAAACAAAATGTTGGAAAGAAGAATCTGACTTTCTCTTAACTGTGTACAGCATAAAATGTATAATATTTTTTAGCCTTTTTTGTTTCATAACCTGTTGGTTTATGATTTTACAGAAAAAATTGAAACAAATCTGAACTGAGTTCTTATTTTTTTTTTTTAGCTCGACAGCTGGTCATTTCTGCAAACATTTAATTATTCATTATACCCAATAACTTTTCCAAGTGAGAATGCAGTGGAGTGGAAAAAACTCTTTAAACCATGTGCTTCCCAGAGATTGTTCTTGCCAGTAAGTTTTTTCCCCCAATGTTCTTTTTTTTTAATCTTGCTTTTACACACAAGTTAATGAAGAGTTACATATAAATCCAGTTAAATAAACACACATGTGTGATTTTCCCTTTGAATGTTAAGGGAAAAAAACTTCCTGTAGAACAAATCAAAGCTCTAATAAAAACCTCTGTTAAAAATGAAAAATGTAAATAATTTCTGTTGAAACACTATATCTTACATTATAATTTATCCAGTTGCTATAAACTGTTTTATCTCTAAGAAGAAGTAGAGGTTGTCAGATCTTAATGGAGCCAAGTCTGTTGCCAGCAGAAATGCAGTGACCGTCGGGCCGGCCTGGTGGTGCAGCAGTTAAGTTCACATGTTCTGCTTCAGTGGCCCGGGGTTCACCAGTTCAGATCCTGGGTGCGGACATGGCACTGCTTGTCAAGCCATGCTGTGGCAGGCGTCCCACATAGAAAGTAGAGGAAGATGGGCATGGGTGTTAGCTCAGGACCAGTCTTCCTCAGCAAAAAGAGGAGGATTGGCAGCAGATGTTAGCTCAGGGCTAATCTTCCTCAAAAAAAAAAAAAATTAAAAAAAGAAATGCAGTGACAGTATCACCTTCAGGTTGCAGACTACATTCATAAATTGGGAAATGTGGTAGATTGCATCTTTACATAACCATTGCTGTCCTGTACCAACCAAGCTAGCTCTTTCTAACTGGTATTTTAACAGACACAAAATTTAAGGCGTATGACCTCAAAGGGAGATGGGAACCATTTATTCAGTGGAGCTGTTGTTTGATGGTGTTCTCTGGTAGTGATAAGCCCTGATTATCTCTTTATAATCTAAAAATATTCAGAAGCAAGGTTCCCTCTTCTATTTTAAATTGATTTCACCCATAGTTTTAAAAATCGCAGTGGTTGTTAGGACTACTATAGTGTTAATGTAAATGTAATGCAAATTACTATTAAAATAGTAATGGTAGTAGACTCATTTTAAGAAGCTCACAAGTTTCTAGAAAGTATATAAATTATGGGAAAGAAACTTCAGTTACTTGTTATTATTAAGTGGATTATGGCGATTCTTAGCTTATTAAGAATATAGTTTACTGAATCCATGATGTCAGTAAGATTTGAAGTTGGTATAATTTTGATAGCTGAGTCTGCCTAACCAGTATCTTTGTTGCTGTGTGTAAAAAATTTGGATCCTAGGATCTTTCTCACTCTTCTCTTCCATTGTAAGGAGCACACAAATAAAGGATTAAGATTGGGAAAAAACCTGAGAAGTTTTACGTACTTCATGGAGGCTTTTATAAAAAAAATTTTATGTTGAATTGTTGCAGTGTCAGATTCATTTAATTAGTCTTTGAGTGCCTATTTTCTCCCAAGTATCTGTACTAAGTGTTGGGAGTATAGAAATGGACAGGTTTCCTGTTTTTTGTTTTTTGGGTTTTTTTTGAGGAAGATTAGCCCTGAGCTAACATCTGCTGCCAATCCTCCTCTTTTTGCTGAGGAAGACTAGCCCTGAGCTAACATCCATGCCCATCTTCCTCTATTTTATATGTAGGATGCCTTCCACAGTGTGACTTGCCAAGTGGTGCCTTGTCCACACCTGGGATCCGAACCGGCGAACCCCGGGCCGCCAAAGCAGAACATGCACACTTAACCACTGTGCCACCTGGCTGGCCCCAGATTTCTTGTTTTTGTAGAGCTTATTGTCTGAGGTGGGAGACAGACATTAAACAAACACAATATGACATTAAGTAAACACAAATATGTTACTGAAAATAAGTGATGAAAGAAACATGAGGTCACAGCCATTTCTCTTCCTTTTTGTTCTACATTATTAACAAGTTTAATTGTTGATGATGTGATATAGAATTTGCCAGATCATTTAATGATGTAATCTGGTTAAATTCCTAAATGGAATTCTAAATACTAAAGTAAAATACTTGAAGCCTGTCGAATTGTCCTCATAATTCACTGTTACTTCTGCATCTTTTTAGCCAGATTTAAGTAAATTGATGCTCTATTTTTCTAAGGGATAAATTTTTTTACTGAGTTTCTCTTCCTTTGAAATAGATGAATTAAAATAACTAATGTAAGCTGTGCCATCTCCTTCTTCCCCTAAAAGGAACCACAGAAGAACACTGACGTGGTTATTGTTTAACCTTATGTCTGATCTCCAGTTGGCAGTGGCTCCCAATGTGAACTTAGAGCTTTATGCACATCTTCCTAGTCTGCCAAGAATACAGTGATCTGTCAACACATGATGTACCATGATACAGAAGCAGAATGTTGCTATAAACACAATTCTCCCCAGTTTCTTCTCCCCTGTAAAAAACGGAGAGAAACGTCCAGACACATAGCCACATATCCTTTTAATTGGAGTCTTTGAACAAGTGACCCTTCCTTACTCAGGCTCTGTGGTCCACCATCAGATTTTTTTCACAGCCTCGTGTTGCATCAGCTGGTGGGGGAATGGGGTGATTTCGGCCTCCTAGCTGTGCATTAAGGCGATGGCTTAACTTTAGCTGCAGGAGGGAGCAGTTTTGAAAAAGGATCAGAATGAGGATCAAGCTCTTATTCTCATATTCTTAACTAAAAAGGTTTAGGTTAGCTTAATCACTGAATCTTGCTAACACCCTGGGAATAGGCAGTAAATTTAAATTTGCAGAAGTTGAGTTCTAAAGTCGGTGGGTAAGGCAGAAGTAAAAAATTACCCTCAGAAATCCCTGTGAAAGGCACATGTTGGAGATTTAACGTCTTCCAGAAAGTAACAACATAGCCAGTCTTTCTTCCAAGACAAGTCTTGTCTCTTCACCCTTGCTAAGTGCACGCTTTCTTTGACTTGGGAAATAGCACAGAAATAAGAGCACGGACTCTGGAGCTAGGTGGTCTGAGTTCCAGTTTTGGTTCTACCATTTACGAGTTGAGACCGAAATGATATAAAGGTGCCAACCATTAGTGTTACAGGCCGAGGGGACAAGCTCAGAAGATCTTCATTTGCCTTGGTTTATTTCTGTATTGATCTCAGGAAATTAGGATTTGAAATACAAATTCACCTAAGTAAATGTTATTTTCTGTGATGAAAAACATTTCCTCCCTGAATATAGCTTCTATTTTATTTATTCTTCCAATTGTTAGTGTTGAGTTTTTGTTCTGATTTGTCTTCATAGCTTTTCTTTTCTAGAAATTAATATAAGGATTAGCATAGTATCTCTCTATATGCTGTTGTAAGAAGTGACAGATTTAGGAAAAATTACTTTTAAATATTACTGTAAATTAGCTTGGCTCTTAGGTATATCTTTTGTAATTAAAGCCTCTTTTATGTTGTACATTAAAGAAATAAAATTATGGTTAATAATTCGAATATCTCTCCTCATAGTTAATCCTGAAAGAAGTTGACTCACTATTGTATGTCGACACGGATATCCTTTTTTTACGGCCCGTTGATGATATTTGGTCTTTACTAAAGAAATTCAATTCCACGCAAATTGCTGCCATGGCACCAGAACATGAAGAGCCTCGAATAGGATGGTATAATCGCTTTGCCAGACACCCGTACTACGGAAAGACTGGAGTGAACTCTGGGGTTATGTTGATGAACATGACTAGAATGAGAAGGAAGTATTTCAAGGTAAGTCACTGACTCGGGGTTGGTTAATGTGCTCCTTTTTTCCCTCCAAATTGTTTGGTTTCCAATTTAGTTTCGTTTTATTGAAAACAAGGGGGAATGATTCAGAATTTTTCCAGTTATGTAGAATAGTTGAAGAAAAGTTTGTTCCTAGTGTTCTGTTTATTAGAGCGTTAGAGCGGGTCACACTAGATGGCGTGACAATGAAGTAAAACAACAACGCACTAAGTGAGCATGGTCTTCCTGGATTGTTGTTGCAGAGCAGTTGTGCAGCCCCAGAATACTTGAACCTAAAGTATGGAGTATCTTGGGGGGAAACAGAGAGTTGTGGTTAAGAGTTTAAGACTTTGGAGCCTGTTGGCCTGGTTCAAACCATGGACCTTGCTCAGTAACTCTGGGGCTTTGGGTAGGTTCTGCCCGTCTCTGGGCTTCAGTTTCCTCATGTGAGAAATGAGGATGATGGATAACAGTACCTATGTCGTGGGGCTTTTGTGAGGCTTGAATGAGTTAGAACAGAGGCTAACACATAAGTAAACATTGGTGCTAGTGGAAGTGAATTTAAAAAACTACCATGCATGTTCCTCGTCACTCAAATTGTGGTGAAGAGTTGGTCCATTTAAATGCTCTGATTGTGCATTCTGAACACATGAGCTGTTGTTCTGTTTACCAGTCCATGTCAATCAATGAGTTTTATGTGCTGAGTTTTAAGTCATTGCCGTTTGTGGGCTCTGGAGTCAAACTGTTTGGCTTTTTGTTTAGCTTTGACACCTGTGCACTATTTAACCACTAGCCAGGTAACTTTCAAACGTCAGTTCTCTCAACTGAAAAACAGGGATAATAAATGGACTTACCAAAATGTCAATTTAAAAGAGATCCATTTAAAATGCTTAGCATAGAGCGTGGTGCAACATGAGTCCTTAAATGTTAGCTAAGAATAGTGACTTGTGAAACACCAACATAGACTTACTGTTTAACCCTACATCTAGTTAGGACTAAATTAAACACCAGGGGATATTATGTCTTTTACAGTTGACTATTGATGTATATTTGTGTGCATATATATTTGTCAGATAGTTTTCTTACGGCTTCGGATGGGCCAGAATTTACACCAGTGTTTATTACTCCTTTTCTGCGTGTCTGATTTAAATCTTCGCCTCCTTTAGAGTTGCTCCGCTTACCTTTGGTACAGGCAGCGGTGCTGTTTGTAGCCATGACCAGCCACACCCGGACATTTCAGTCTTCGGGCAGATCATTGCCATCACTCTTACCTTCTGTACATCTAGTAAACCTAGCTTTTTTTTTTTTAGCTTTCCCATTTTCTGAACCTTCCTGAAACCTTGATTTCATTTCAGTTTTGTGTCCCACAGTGGAAGGCATTAATGAGGGCATTGTAACCTGTGTTCTTGCTCAACAGTGAACATCTTTCTTAAATTACCCACTTGTTAATATATCTTGAATTTCGAAATTTCATGTACCATAAAGTTTTACTAAATAAAACAGATGTTGTAATGCCATCAGTTTTCTTCCTTTTCTTATTGTTAGGCTCTATGTACAGTAATATTATACCAGAAGATGGTGCTGTAAGATTATCTGCTGAGGAATAATGTGACTTCTCAGTAACTCTTCACTGGGAGTTCATAGAATTATGAGAAGTTTAGTGTTGCAAAGAACTGCAGAGATAATTTAGTGTAAGACCATTATTTGATTTTTTTTTTAAATTTCAGAATACAGCTGTATGGTTCAAATCTATGATTATTTTTTACTTACTTTTTACTTATTTAAATGTCATTCTTAAATGCGTTAACAGTTTCTCCCCTCCCCTTCTTCTTTTGTCTGTGGCGTGTTCTAAACCAGCTAGACGTGCTAGACATGCAGATAGGGACATTAAATAATTTCTCAACTTTCAAACTTTTGTGTTCTTCTGTGTAGAGAAAACTACGAGAGGCATGACAGTGAATTAATTCAGTAGGCACAGTTTCCTTCGTACCTACCATCCCTGTGTTCCAGACAACCCTGTTCTTGTCTAGTAGGAACAACGCAGACTTGCTTTATTTCCAACTATTATAATTATGATTGCTGAGAGGTTTCCACACATTTTTTTGATTTTTATTCCTTTGTTCATATATCTTTCTTTGTTTTTCCTGATTGTTTTCCAGGCTGTATCTGTAGCAAACATTGCCTTGTTTTTTCCTACTAATTCTACAATTTCTGGCACCAATCTTAAATTTTAGAGCTCCAGTGATATAACTGAATTACTAATAATTTCCCAAACTGTTTCCTAGAGATCCATGAATGTTGCCCCATGGTTCTTATCACATGAAAAACTCTAAGACTCCCCATTTAGGATAATGGCCATATTTTAAATTCTTAGTTTGCTTTGCTGTCACCCAGTCCGTACCATTCATGACTGTTCAGTTCCAACCTGATGTATTATAGTTATATATCTTAAAAAAGTAAAAATTCTGCTCTTTTGTTCTTTGTTTCTCATAATGCTTGATAGACAATGATACAATACCTGTTAAGCTGTTGCTTTGTATTTTTCGTTGTGATTGTATTCGCAGTGTTGCATCCCAATGAGGATATTTCTTAACCTTTTCTATTTATTGGAGAAAACCCAAAGAATATAAATAAGGCATCTTGAGAATCCTTTCCTTGTATATTTACTGTACCCTGTTCATATCCTGCTATATATTACTTTGTAAAGTAATTTTTGTCTATTTTCCCCACCTATTGAGGGCAGAGTGTACAACTTCATATTCAAAATATTTAGCACAGAGTCCAGCACAAAGTAGAGACTCAATTAACAGCAGAAGACAGACAGAAGTTTTAGAAACCAGGCCATTAATAAATCATTGAAAAATATTGGGAAAGAGAACACCTTACCATGAGGTGGACATGATGGTTGTTTTTACGTATTTGAAAGGTGTATGTGTTAGAGGACTTTTACTGTGTTGTATATACAGCTTATGAGAGCAGAATAGTAATGGACATCTTACCAAAGGGATAGAACTTTTCAGAGATGAGTGGAGTAACTAATCTTTGGGAATTGGTGAGTTCCCACTTTCTAGCATTGTTGGAGCGTAATATGAACAGCCAGCTGTCAGTTTTATATTTATGTGTAAGATAGGCTGATAATGAGTCCATCTATTTTCAAAAGCATATGTAATTCTGAAAGTGAAACTAATTGATGTTAATGTAATACATGTGCTTTTTGGTAGTAGGTTTGCTAAAAATAGTAAATTAGAACTACATTTTTTTTTAACTAAATCATGCTTATAAAAATTTAAACAGGTCATTGTATGTAGAGTAAAAAGACAGGTTCCCCCCCTTCACACACCACTATCCCCAATTTCATTCCTTTGCCCAAATGACGTTATAAACTTTGCTGTATGTTCTTCAGACCCTTTAAAAAATGTGTTTTGAAACAGACATACATGTACATTATTACTTATGTATAGGATCTTTGTATATATCTTCAGCTTGCTTTTTTTACTTGGTAGATATATAATTGACTGATTTTTATGTCAGTACACATAGTCTATCACACTTTTAATGTGTGTAATATTACGCAGAATGGATGATTTGGTTTTATTGTTTGTGTGTACTAGTATGAAGATGTCGTTATATGGCCGAAAAATATCTCATGTATTTTAACTTGTACTTCCCTGACTGTGCTACCAGCGTGGATGAAAATCTTTTCATGTGATTTTTCACCATTTCTGTTTCTTCCTTGGTGAATGGCTGTTCGTTCACATCTTTTGACCGTTTGTCTCCTTGGTTCTTTTCTATTTCTTATTGACTTGAACTCCTTTTATATATAAAGCCTCTTTATTAAACGCATTTTTCACGGTTTTTCATTGGTTGTCATGGACATTCTAGGTTCTGTCATGAGCAAATACTACTAGTGTTAGTGCTTCTTGTCAAGTACTTTTCTAGCAGGACTTTTCCTTTAAGTTGTAAAAGGTTTTCACCTCCTTTAACTTTTTCCTAAGTCTGCACTAGACCTTTCCTTTTGTCTTTCATTGATTTTTCTTTGACTAGATATGTTTCTTGGAATAGATGTATATCCCCATCTGTTGACTGTATTGCTGGTTTTTGTCCTCGTGCAATTCAAATTTTCCTTTTCAGATCCTGAGAACACTCAGTTAACATGCTCAGTGACTCATCATTCGATAAAGTATTTTCTTATTTCCTTAAGTAAAACTTATTTCGGTCATTTTCCAGATTTTTTTGGGGGGGGCAAATTTCTGATTATTTTATAATTACTGTGTGTACTGCATTCTGAGAAACTTCACACAAGGGTAATAGAATTATACAGATCATGTTTAGTTTAAATACGTAGAGTTTTTCAGGAATTCTGGCTTTTCTTTCTTAAAGAATAGATTGTTTATACTCCCATCGAGTTTATTATATATCCTAGAACAGCTTGTAACAATGTTTTTCAAACTGTCTATGGAGAAGGATCAATGTTTTAAAAATATATAATCTGTCATGAGCAGATACTTCTGTAAAAATGATATAAATAAGTTACTAGAAAAAATATTAGATTCAATAGACATAAAATTATTCTGTTAAATTGCTGTAAAAGTTTCTAAATCTTCCTCTTAATTTCTGCGCTTAATCTGGTAGAGGATATAAAAATTCATTGATCAGCACACTGCAGGCTACACTTTGAGGAATACTGGCTTAAGTCCGGAGAGTTTGAGTCGAATATGTCCAAAAGGCTTAGTATTCAGCTCCACGCCTTCTTACCCCAGATGCACACATCCAGAGCTCTCTTTCAACTCTGTGGTTTCCTTAGGTATTTGACGCTGAGTTTTAAAATAATGAGGTGGGAGCAATTCTATAGAGGCTGAAAAGGCACCTGATGAAATTCAGTGTCTTTTTTTTTTTTGAAGAAGGTTAGCCCTGAGCTAACTACTGCCAATCCTCCTCTTTTTGCTGAGGAAGACTGGCCCTGAGCTAACATCCGTGCCCATCTTCCTCTAGTTTATATGTGGGACACCTACCACAGCATGGCTTTTGCCAAGCGGTGCCATGTCCGCACCCAGGATCCAAACTAGTGAACCCCGGGCCACTGAGAAGCGGAACGTGCGAACTTAACTGCTGTGACAGTGGGCTGGCCTGACCCCAAGTATCTATTTTTGATGTATCAATTTCAGATGATCTCTTTAAGATGCCAATTACAAAAGATTAGCAAATCACTGTAAGAATGATAGTGATCATGGTAACAAAATTAATAGCTAACACTTGAGTATGTACCATGTGCCAAGTATATATCTATTATTATTATATATTAATCCTCAACAACTCTCTGACAGAGACACAGACACTACGTCTAGACGTATGACATATGTGCTAAAACTAAAACTATTTAAGGTGAGGTCACAGTCACGGTGCTGAGACTATCACTACTTACTGTTTCCCTTTCTTTCCCAGTGTTTGTTAGTCTTATCACTTTGACGTGCTCCTTCACAGTTCTTTTGTTACCTTCTCCACTCCAACCGGACAGACTTACTTACATCTAGGTTTACGTTAGGGTCACTTGGTTTTGTAGCAAAAATGTACCTTTCTCCTTGTCACTCTGTAGTGATTGCTAAGGGAAGAATGGGAACTGTCATTTTGCTGCCATATCAAACCTGGAAGGCTGAGGATCTTTTTAATGTATTTACCAACAGAATGACATGACCACTGTGCGACTACGATGGGGAGACATACTTATGCCATTGCTTAAAAAATACAAACTAAACATCACATGGGGTGATCAAGATCTGTTGAATATCATATTTTTTCACAATCCAGGTAATCATTTAAATTTCTTTTATTCTTTGCATTTGTAAAAAAAAAAATCATAGTAATATTTTGTTAAAAATGAAGAAATGTATTTATTTGATTTTGGTTTATATTGATGGTTATCACTATGTTTAAGACAGAGTACAAGCATACCTTGTTTTATTGTGCTTTGCTTTATTGCACTACACAAATATTACGTTTTTACAAGACCTTCCAGCAGCAAAAAGATTACAACTTGCTGAAGGGCCCAAATGGTGGTTAGCATTTTTTAGCAATAAAGTATTTTTTCACTAACGTATATATGTTGTTTTGTAGACATAATGCTCTTGCACACTTAGTAGGCTACAGTGTAGTGTAAAAACAACTTTTATATGCACTGGGAAACCAAAAAATTTGTGACACGCTTTACTCATTCGTTTTATTGTGTTGGTCTGGAACCGAACCCGCAGCATCTCCAAGACATGCCTGTAAAACTTTTCTTGAATATTGACTCAGTAGGAAGAGATCTAAAGGCCAGACATCTTTTTCACTATTTTAAATCTGATCGTGTAAGAGCTGTGTTTTTAAAGTTTTTGCAAATGTTAACTCTGTGAAATTAGGGTTCTTTACTTCGTTGTTTTGTCTTTCTTCACCTAGAAAGCCTTTTTGTCTTTCCGTGTCAATGGAATTATCGACCAGATCATTGTATATATGGAAGCAATTGCCAAGAAGCAGAAGAAGAAGGAATCTTTATTCTTCATGGGAACAGAGGTGTTTACCATGATGATAAGCAACCAGCATTTAGAGCTATTTACGAAGCACTGAGAAATGTAAGCGTTTGTTTTTTTGTTTTATTTTTTTAACTTTTTATGTGGAAATACTTCTAAGTTTACAGAGAATTTGCAAGAATAGTACAAAGAATTTCCATATCTTTTACTCAGGTTCATTAATTATTGACATTTTACCACATTTGTTTTATCGTTGGTTCTCTCTCTCTCTACGTTGTTTTTTTCTGAGCCATTTGATTGTAAGTTGCATACATCATGCTCTTATATCCCTGAAAACATTGATGTGTTTTCACTAAGAACAAGGACATTCTCTTAATACCACAGTTCAGATATCAAACTGAATTTCAGGAAATTCAGTATTGATGCACTACTTTTATCTCCCATCCATATATTTTTATTCTCCTTTGATCTAGAACAGTTTCTCCATCAGTCTTTGTCTTTCATGACATTGACATTTTTGGAGAATAGAGCCCCTTCACCTCCTTTTTCTTTCTTTTTTTTTTTTTAAATATTGGCACCTGAGCTAGCATCTGTTGCCAGTCTTCTTTTTTTTTCCTTCCTTCTTCTTCTCCCCAAAGCCCCCCAGTACATAGTTGTATATTCTAGTTGCAGGTCCTTCTGATTGTGCTGTGTGGGACACCACCTCAGCATGGCTTGATGAGCAGAGCTAGGTCTGCGCCCAGGATGCAAACCAGTGAAACCCTGGGCCGCTGAAGCAGAGGGCACAAACTTAACCAATTGGCCATGGGCTGGCCCCTTCACCCCTTTTATTATTAGAATGTTCTTCCTCTTGGCTTGTCTGATTTTCCATATGATTAGGTCCAGGTGTGCCCTCCTGGTCGAATACTAAGAAGTGATGTTGTGTCCTCAGGATATCACAGTCACCTTTGTCTCCGTGCCCCTCATTGGTGATGTTGATTTTGCTCATCAGTCTAAGTGTTCAGTTTCTCCACTGTTTAGTTATTTTTCCCTTTTATAAGCAGTCTCTGGGGAAACACTTTAAAATCATGTAAATAACCTGCTGCTCATCAAAATTTCCATACTAGCTTTAGCATCCATTGTTGGTTCTTGCTCAGACTAGTGTTTACTATGGTAGCTGCAAATTGCTGCTTGTCCAACTGTAGCACTCCGTCCACATGCAGCTTTGGCACTTGGCCTTCTGCTGGAAGGAAGAGCCCTCCCTTTTTGCCCATTTTTTGATCTATACATTATCGGTATAAACTCATCATACATATTTTTTTCAATGATTTATAATGCATTATTCCATTTTATTTATGTTGATGCTGAAGTTGTTCCAGCTTTGGCCATTGGGGGCCCCTTTTGGCTACCTCTTGTGCCCAAAGACATATTGCCATCATTATTTTGAGTACCTCCTCATTATCTGTCACTACAAAATATTCCAGGCTCATCTTGCTATGCCTTCCCTGCCCTAGTCCTGAAATTAGCCATCTGTCAAAGGAGCTCCGGTTCCTGACAGTGGGCTCTTGGAGCCAGGCGTGTTCAGTGCTACAAGAGTGTCTTTGCCTCCAAGCCCTTTCAGTGACATGACAGAGCTAGAAATGTAAACACACACCTGCAGTCATGTGCTCACACTGACACCTCCATTTCCATCCCCCCAAGCTCTTTCTTGTCTTCTCTTACTCTGGTTTCTATGTTTTATCTCCTTTCTTACACAGTTAGAACATAAAACGTTTCTTCATTTAATGAGCTTAAGCCTACAGTAGTACATTTAAAATAATTTCAAAAATGCTCCATTCATACTATTATCTCTGTGCCCCTGTTCGCAAAAACCAACCACTAAAAAGTTCAGGATTCGTTTCCAGTCTTGCCTCCTCCCCTCCCCTGCTCCCAGACGGGGTGTGTGCTCAGTACTGTGTTCAGTTACTTGTGTTGGTTCTGCTGTCTTCCCTTTCAGTGTGGTTATTTCATTCATTTGAAATACAATTGGGTTCATTTGTTTCAGTATGCTTTCAGTTTTAAGGTTTTTCTCCTCCCATCCTTGTTGATTTAAGTTGAATTCGGTATGTGGAGTATTAATATACTTCAAAAAGTCAAAACAATGGGAGAGTTTCCTCGGGAGTATCACTCCTTCCCCATCCTTCCACCCCAAACCCCCGTCCCACAGGTTAGCAGTTTCATTGTTTTCTGGTCTGTCCTTCCTGTATAGATGAGCAGACACATGTACATTTTGTAATTCCCCTTTTCTTACTCAAAAGGTGGTATACTGTTTATGTTTATGTACTCTTTGCTTTTTTCACTTAAAATATTCTGGAGATTCATGCATTTATAAATACCTTCTTTTTTTTTTTTTTTTTTCTTACAGCTGTATGTACTCCATCTTATACATGTACTGGTTTATTCAACCAATCTCTTCTGTTTGAACATTTTGGTAGTTTCCAGCATTTTGAATTATACATAATACAGCAATGCATGGCCTTGCCAGCTGTATGTTTGTGTTGCAGGGATTAGCAGGTTGAAGATGCTGTCTATTTCCCCTACATAGAGATGATTTGCATTCCTGCCAACAATTTATGAGGAGGCCCATTCCCCACAGCCTTATCAACGGAGTGTATTATCACGCTTTTAAAATTTTGCCATTTTGATGAGTGAGAAATGGAATCTTAGTTCAGTTTTAATTTGTGTTTCTCTTATGAGTGAGGTGAACATCTTTTTATACGAGCCATTTTTATATCTTTTTTTGGGTGAATTTTCTTTCATATCTTTTACTTATTCCTATAGGTTTTTAAAAATAGCCTTATTGATACATACTTAGTATACCACAAAGTGCACCCATTTCAAGTGTATAGTTCAGGGGTTTGTAGCATCTTTACAGCAGTGCCGCCAGTCCTCAGGAGGGAGTTTTGCTCTTTACACCCCCTCCCCGCCAGTTGTTGCAAGTTCTTTGTATATATTAGCCATATTAGTCCTTTATCTGTGACATCTCTTGTAAATACTTTCTCCCAATTTGACTTTGTTTATGGCATATCTTGCCATGCAAAGTTGCTTGTTTTTTAAAATTTTTGTGTAATCAAGTTTAGCAACCTTTTTTTTTTTTAAATAAGTCATAATTAGAAAGCCTTTTTCTACCTAGACTCAGGTTATTGAAAACTTCTCTTATGTACTCTTTCTTTATTATTTTGTCCTCTACTCAGTTTGTCAATTTGAATTTACTATTTTGTATCGGGTGAGGAAGGGATGTAATTTTATCTTTCTCCTAATGGCTATCTTGTCCCAGCACCATTCATTTAAAAGTCGATTTTTAACCCAAAGATTTGAGATACTCACTTCATCGTATACTAAAGCTCCACTTGTAATTTCTGGATTTTCTGTTTTGTTCCATTTGTCTGTCCGTTTGTGCATTACCACCACACTGTTTTAATTAGAAAGGCTTTGTGGTATGCTTTAGTATCTGATAGGGCTACTCTTTCTTTGTAGCCTGTCCTTCTCAGTGTTTTCTTAGCTATTGTATATTTATTTTTCCACAAATATCAGCTCTTTTAACTACATAAAAAAAACCTATTGATATTTTCATTGGGAGTCTATCAGCTTCACATATTAACTTGGGGCTGCCGACATTTTGATGGTGTTGAGACATCTTAATCAAGAATAAGGACTATCTTTCCACTTGTGTCTTTCAGGAATGTCTAATAGTTTTCTTCGTGTTGATTTTGAACATATCTTAAGTTTGGGCTTAAGTATTTTAACTTCTTTGTTGCCTTTGTAAATGAGGTTTTTTCTCTTTTAAGCATTTGCTTTATATTGAGTTTGGGAAAAAATTATACTGTCTCTCCCCCACCCTGCCCCATTTATCTGTTCTTTTTTTCTTGTTGTTACAGCCCCTTTTTGTGTAGTAAAGTGGGTTGATAGGAAGACACAATTATGCTTCACATACCTCTAGAATGATGCATGAACCAGGTCTCTGAATATGTTGGGGACCAAGAGTTGGGGCAAATCCACATGACGATTGGACTTAGGATTTTTCTAAGTGAGCTCTATCACTCACTGTCCAGGCAGCTGATTCACTGATACCTGGGAAGAAGTGAACGTGCCCACACATCTCTCACATGGATGTGCTCTCTGTTCTGCTAGACTGTGCCTAGTTTTATATGGACGTGAAGACAAAATATGAGTCCATAATAGGAGTACTAGTTTGGTTTAAGTCTAGGGGTCAGGAGAAAAGTTGGCAAGTTGGTGCCCCTATTTCCTAGATTCTTATTACTTACTAATGACTAAAAACCTCTGGTCTAGTATAGCCTCGTTAGTAGGAGTGAGGGTAAGAATACTTAACTGTAATCCACTGTGACAGAGACGGTACCAGAACTGTGAAAGAGTGTCACAGTATTCACATCTGAGGCCAGGGAAGGCCTCATCGCTGAGGAGGCGTTAGAAGTGGGCCCTGAAGAATGAGTGAGAGTTTGCCAGATGAGCAGAGGCTGTGTGGGCTGAGATCTGCCTGAGGGAAAGACTCAGGGGTTATGAATATTCCCCCAGGAGATCAGGCGCTGCATGTTCACCGTGTGACCGGAGTGACGGGTGCAATAAGGGTGGCTGGGACCGAGGTGGGGTGATGTGGTGAGGTGGTGATCTGCAGGGGTGAGGAATTGGAGTTTCTGCCTGGAAACCAGCATTTCTCAAACTAGACAATAGACAGAGTGCTAACAGCATTGTAGGCTACTGTTTGAGTGTGTTATTTGCTAGATTCTTTTGTCCTATAACCTTGACACATAAGGTTTCTGAATAATTAGTTTATCATGATAACAACTACACTCACTGAAGAATTATAAAATTTAGTGTTGATATTCATTTTAATGTAGCAGACCTTGTATGCCTTCAGAAATCAATACCATATTTTAATAATGTTTATGATGGGTTGTCAAAAGGTGATAAAAATGAAGAAAAGTACTTTTGGGGTTCTGAGATTGCAGGATAGAAAAGAAATGCATTCCTATAAAAATGTTTCTTTGTTTCCTTTGAGCATTAAAAAGCGTCCGTTATTAAGGAATTAAATCTTGCTAGTTTTAGTTGATCTTTTCTCTGATCTTTTATAAATATATTCCTTTAAAAAGCTGAGTAATGGTTTTAAGCTGATTAATTACGCTTGATTTTTAAAAAGTAAATCTTATTTTTAAAATTATTTCAACACTGAATTAATGATTTTTTGTGTTTGTTTTGAGTCTGTGTTAACTGTAGCTGTATCCATCCATTTTTCAACTTAATGAGGTTAATCAGTCTTTTATGGTGCTCTTGATTAGTATTTTTATCTTTCCTTATCTATAATTCAGTAAGAAGTATAATTTTTAGAAGAATTGCATTCAGACAAGAGTATTTATGCAAGTTTCAGACAGAAGCTTAGTCATAGCCATCGAGTACAGTGAACAATATGAATTAGAAAGGATGTGATCCATCTCTAAAATGTAAATGCAAGGCCATGTCTGCCAGCAAATCAGTTTTTGCACTCGATACGTACTTGTTAAATATTAGTTGTTGAGTGAATAAAAATATTATGATTGCAAATTCAGAATGGGAACAAAACACTTTATTGCTCTGTGAGGTGTTTTCTGCTTCATCTATTTCATTCTGAATTATTATATTTCTTGGTGTTTTGTGTTAACTTTGATTTACTGCACACCCTGCTAAGGTTTGCATAACTGTCTCTGCGAGAGAATCTTGAATGTTCCCCTCCTACACTACCTTCTTGTAAATAGTTGTCACTTAGCATTGGTTGGGTTGCACTGCCATGTTTTTAAAACATGTTCTGTTCTTTGAAAATGCCTCGAATTATCATCATAGCCTCACCATTTACTTGCTGCCTTTCACCTGGCAGTCATGTATAAAGCATGACCTTCCTAAAAGTTTGTGTAGGGGGTACTGTGCCAGTGAAGAGGGAGTGATTAACTGTGTCAGGAGAGGCTTCTCTGAGGAGCTGACATTTGGACTGAGCTATAAGGATGAGGACCAGGCAGGGAAGGAAAGGTAAAGACGAGTCCAGCACAGCGTGCAAGATGGGAAGAGGCCTGCAGTCAGGGAAAGGCACCTGTGGCCTCTGGGAAAGGGAACACCGGGATGCTGGTTATGCACCACACAGCTCTGCGCACACTGCAGAGTATGCGAATGGCAGAGTGCAGGGACTTCAGGCTGCATTTATATAGGTGGATATTTTGGTTATTTATCATCTTCTCCCTCAAAGGTCAAATTGCTTGTGTTATACGATGGACTAAAAGAGTTCTAATTCATGAGCCACTGTTTTTATTTCAGGAAAATAGTCATCAAAAGACTTTCCCAGTGAAGGAAAAAAAATTCTTAACCATAAACACTGGGATATAAATCACATGAAAATGAACAAACTGAATCTCCAGTACCTCATATTCCTGGGAGTTAACTTTTAAACACCTTTGTAATGATTTCATTTTATTGTCATTGTGCAGTAAGGAAAAGATCACAGTTGGGTCTCCCCTTATTACTCACCTCTCAAACCAGATGTTTTTTGTACACATTGAAATGTTACTTGATAGTGTCACTTGATAATGGTGATAAACCTTGATAAAGGTTGCCTTCTTCAATTTGGCTGCCACTTTTAACCCCTAGCAAATTTAGGCATGTCTGTATACAGCACAGCACTTTTCCAATTTCCCACTGTTAATCGAGCTTCATCTTTCAGCAGAACTTTTGAGACCGGCTTGGCACGGTTCCGTCTGCCTGTCTGGATAGGCGGTGTGTGTGTGGGTGAAGTGCTTGAGCTTCTGGAGCAGACAGTGGGGTGACATCTTGCCTTTGCCACGTACCAGCTTTGTAACTGTGGGAAAGTTCTTTTTCCCTGCCTTAGTTGCTTCCTTGTAAATGGGGATAATTATATTACCTATTTCATGAAGTGGATGTGGGGCTTAAATGCATTGATACATATAAAGCTCTTAGAAAGGTGCCTGGCGTGTAGGAAGCCCCCTTTTTTTAACCAGTCCAGCTTTCAGTAGTTTCTCCAAGGTGCCTGTGTGCTAGCTATTATTATTTTCATTACATTCTTCCTGATTAAACTTCCTCTCCTCTTTTTTTGGTCTTCAAAACAATTTTAGATACTTACCTTCCGTATATGTGATTTGTGTTTTAAAAATCACTGCAAGAGTGATGGTTTCATGCAGTTAATGCTCACGTTTTCTTGCTTAAGAGATACCAAGGTTTAGGATCTCTTTGCATCTCCACACTGATAAAATCCTGTTATGAATTAGCATCTAAGTTCGTTCTGTCTCCATAGATTGGCCGCAGCATCCCGCAGACTCACTCATTGTGATTGCAGTGGTGCATTCATGTCCTCTCCCTCATGTCACGGTGCTGAACCTCAGGGGTAACCTCAGGTCTTGTGCAGCCCCCCAGAGTTCAGGTTCTGAATTTCCTTTGGGATCTTGTATTTTTCACTGACTTCAAACTTTCATGTAAAATGTTCTATTTTCAAGCCCCATACATCTTTCTAATTGAAAATATACCTACTTGCAAACACTAAATGAAAAAAGATACCTGGTTGAAAATGCTAAGTAAGATCACAAGTTATTTCCACTTAATCACTACTACAGTGTTTTCCAAAATGTATTCCTTGGGATATTACTACTTTTTACAGTAAAAAAGGATTCTGGTCCAAAAAGAATTTTGGAACTAGTGGGCTAAAACTATTCAAGAGATGTATTTTCTGTTTTATTTTTTAGAGTTTTCACGTGCCAGTGTGAATCCCCATGAAGAGTGTGTGATGTTTAGCGTCCTCAGATGTCTTTGTCCTCGGGATCATTTGTGCAGTTAGGGTTCTCTGGGAAGTGCTGAACTATGCTGTCGTTCTGCGTTCCTCCCACTCCACGCCGCTCTCATTCTTTTCCGGTCCAGCCTCTACACCATTCTCGGAGTGATTTTTGGCTTTCGTTAGTGTCTTTCTGCTACCTCCAGAGCTTTTGGTCACCGTCTCACACCAGTCAGTGTCTCTGGGTCTTCTCTGCCCTCGGATGTGTTCTTGGCTTGGAATGACCTGCCTCCATTACCTCTTCTCTCAAAAGCTTTCCCCGATACTTCCAGTGATTTAACCTGACTTTCTCCCACCTCTTAGATAAGATCGTAGTTCTGTTTAATTCATTGAAAATATTTGTTGAGCCATGTACTTTTTGGGAAGCTTTAAATGGAGGTTGTAAATATTAAGTTGATTGAAGAAGTTGTTTGGAATATAAATTTTTATATGTATCTTTGTCTTTTTGTTTTCTTTCCCTAGTGTTCTTTTGAAGATGACAATATCCGTTCCTTATTAAAACCTTTAGAACTGGAGCTCCAAAAGACCGTGCATACATACTGTGGAAAAATTTACAAGATATTTATCAAACAGCTAGCAAAAAGCCTCCGAGATCGTTTTCATAGACCACCAAAGGAAAGGTGATTCTTGGTGACCGCAGAATCAAATGAATGAAAACAACGAAGGATCAGAGGATGTCTGTGAAGGAATAGTCTTGGATGAAGTGTTCAGGAAGGAATTATTCATCTTCAGAATAATGGTTTTTTCCTGAAGAAGTTAAATGAGCAATATATTCATGTAATGAAGAATAACTTAATGTCTTGGACTCCAACAAGAAGACATTTTTGATCTGTGATGTGTTGTAATGTTATTTGCTATCATTCCAGTATTGATGAAAATATTGTTGAATGGTTGTAGCCTACAGACTGGTTGACTCTTATACTCAAGTGAGTAAGAACAGTAGGAGTGTATGGATGGAGAAAATGTACCTCATACACCGTGGAAACACTCAAACTGTGAGTATAGCAATAATTTTATGTCAGCACTAACCTCACTTTAAATGTGTGAGAAAAAAGTTGTTTACAGGAGCAGAAAAAAGTTCTGTTTCTAAAGAAATGTGATGTAACCGATGTGTAACCATTGACAATCTATGTGTGTGCCTTTATACATTTCATCTCTGTTTTAAAATATTTTTGTGACAATCATGTTTAAAACTATTTCTAGGTTATAAGTGAGCTGCACATTTAAAATTGAGCTGTATAAGAAAGAAGGAAAATAGTGACAATTTTGCAGTTTTAGTCTCGTGTGTGTATTTGTGAAATGTAGTATTTTCATCTGTATATGCTAAACTGTCTTGCCAAAACCGCTAAGATTGTTCAACAGATATTTTGGGAAGTTTTTTATCACTTTAAATGAAAATTTTCAGCTTTACTGGGCATTCTGGAAGCAAAAAATATGCTGATAATATAGTGAGATCCTAAATAGTATGCTTATATGACAGTGGAAAATGTGATAGACCAAAATGCATAAGCTATATACTTCCTGTGAACAGTAATTTTAGTTATATTGGAGCAGAAAAAAGTAGTCCATTTAAGCTTCTTTTTTTCTACCTCAAAATGGCTTTACAAAATATTTTTGAAGAAGCAAATGTATAGAGCCTTCTTTCGAGTAAGTTAGACAACTTCCCTGGATGATTTGGATTAAGAAGATTGTTACATCTGGCTATAGAAAAAGTAGTTTTGATTGGGTTAATGTGCACATATGCCCTTTTTGAATATCACTTGACAGTTCTTTTTTTAAATCTTGAAGATAAGAAAAATATTGCTTCTCTTAGTGTTCTTGACCACTGTCTAATATAACTATAGATTCTAAGTACGTTGCGTGTACTGTGCTGGGCACATCTCTCATTTTACCAAGTGCTACATGGTTATCGTCTTTTTCTCTTTTTGATGTTTTAATTCTTAGAGAAGGGAAGATCATGAAGGAAAAATATCACTTATGTGAAAATAGTGGTTTTTGGCTTATGAAGACATAGTGCCCTCTGGATACATGGAATATGCAGAAGGAGCTGGTCTGTACAGTTGTCCTGTCTTTTGTAGTTCAGTCAGGGACAAACTGAAAGAGGAGGGTGTATGAGAGGCAAATTAGATAGAAGTTGATAACCAGCCCAGCACTCCTAGAGCAGCTGCATCTACAGAGCACAATCTGTACATCTTTGGCAGAGTGCCATGGTGAACATAAGAACTTGTGAACTCGGTTGAAATTGAGTTTGCTGAGTTGAAAATGAGAATCCTAGAATTTGAAGTTTGGAGGGTATATATAAGATCATTTCTAACGGACCCCAAGTGAGACCATTGCCTCTGTGGCTGTGTTAGATCCTCTTGGGGAGCCCGTTGAGAGATACACTGTGTCTAGGATAGGGGCTGCAAACTTTTTTTTTAATGTAGAGATTTTAAAATTACACAAAAGTAGAGAGAATAGTACAGTGGTGCTCATTCTCCACATCAAACACTTACCAATATCTTACCATATTTGCATCATCTAGGCCTTTTTTCTTTGCTGAAGTATCTTAAAGATCCCAGACATCGTGTTATTTCACCACTATGAACACTTTGAGAACTACAATGACATCATACCTCCACCATATTAAGTGAATATCCAGTCCTTAAGCAGATTTCCCTTATTGTCTCCAATGTTAGAATCGGGGTGCAAAAATAAGTCACATTATGATGCTATTTTTAATAAGCACCTCAGACGATTTTGATGTCAGCTAGTTTGGGAACCACTGGAAATCATTTTGCCAACTTGAACATTGAAGTTAGGATTCCATAGTTCTTGGCACAGTTGGTAGATTATAAATGTGATTCTGAAATATTAAAGGAATTATGTGGGGTTATTGACAAGATATGAATTTATGTTATTAGTAAGTTCTTTAGATTTAATTTCCTCAGTGAACAGAGACTCTCAACCGTGTGGACTTTGCTATGATTGATTGGAACTGTATGGAGTGTGGTCATAGTTTAATCCAGTTGGACTGTATACTGCGGTCTCACATGTTGTGGCTTATTAATACTGTCACACACTCTACATTGTGGATCAGTTGGAAGGTTCTTCTGGTTTATTCAGACCTCACCCAATTGGGCATTTCACCATAAATTGGGTTATGGTGAAAACTCTCCTCTTAGGGACTATTTAACTTAAAGTTTAGGATATCACAGAACATCCATAACAATATTAAAAGGAGTTTTCTGAATTTATATGGTAACTTTTTCCTTGAGCATACTCAAGAAATGCAGTTCTTGGCCTTAATGAGGTTAAATTGTAGAACAGCTTAGAGAACATATTTCTTTTTGTGAAACAGTATATCTATGCAGTTTATATAAATTACATTATCTATTCTTTGAGTCTACGTGTTAGAACAATTCTGACCTCAGAACTATCTCTGGGTTACAGTATTACCAAAGTGGAATGACTTTAAAATGTAGTCAAATTTCCTTTGTGTGAAGTAGCCATTTTAAAAGAACTTGGAAACCTTTAGAAAATATATGTTGTGATTTACATTTTATGAAGATATGTTTTTCCCCCATGAAGAAAGAATAGTTCATAATATTTAAAGTAACCCAGTTGTCTTTGGAGATTTTCGAGCCTGAAACGATATCACTGCTGACAGACTGCTCTTTGCCTCTGGTCAGATGTTATTGGTGTAATGGAAGGAACACCAGACTGTGAACTAGATCTGGATTCTCTTCTTGCTTAGGGACCCCAGGCATATCGTTTAACCTTCTCTGTGCCTTAGGTTTGTAAACAATCAATATGCCCTTTCAACCTCATGAGACTCAGAAGTCATGAGTCACGAAGTTACAAGACACGGAAGAGAGGAGGGATTTGAACACATTCTGCGTGGCTTATATGGTGCCACAGCAGCCTTGCTGTCGAAGGTCTGTTTCATCTTGCTGTCTCCTGTGCAGATCATTCTGTTTCCTTAGGCTGAATGTTTCCTGACATATATTGTGGCTCCAGTATGAATTTGCTTATATTAGGTAAGGAAGAGTTTTTAAGGAAAGGAAAGGAGAGAAGAAAAGAATGATGTAAGCGAATGATCAAAAAAAGAAGGAAAAGAGAGAAAGTGAGAAAAGTGAGGAAAGAGAAGGGTATAAGAGTGAGAATGGCAAAAGGCAGAGTAAGAGAAAAGATGGAATGAAAGTGGGGAAATCGAGATGCAGTGATGGAGAGAGATGATGTGGAAACAGCCACCCCACCCTATGCCTTTGTCTGCTTGCCTTCCTCTGTGTTGGTCCATGAGGCCCTCTGGGGGCAGGAAGCGGGCTGGCGTTCATGGAGGGGGCAGCAGGGCTTCCTTTGGTCGATTTGTTGATACTAGAGTTGTTTGTGGGTCACTCTGCTCACTGGTCATTTAGTGCTAATGATTCAACATTGTATTTTTTCACTGGCTCCCAGTTTGTGAGCCAAGACCTGTGAAAACGCGACAACGAATATCTTCCTTTTCAGTGTTGTTTGTTGAGTCATCCCAAATGTTGGCTTATGCGAGACTAACCACACAGAGTGACGGGACGTTAGGGTGGAGGGGACGGCTTCCGTGGGTCTGAGGGGGCCCGGGAATCTATCGCAGCAGTGTCCCAGATGAACTGGAAGGAGGCCAGGTTTGGGAATCACTGCCTGGCCTTGAATGGCAGCTTACACAATACGTTACATCTCTTGATTCCTCAGTGGCATACTTTCAGCTGAGCAGTTAGGAATGGATTCAAGAGAACAGGGCACAGGAGAAATGCATTCGAGGAAAAAACCTTAGAAGATAGTACGGTGTCTTCTTTTTCAGAAGTTTATATTGTAAGAAATACCTTAGTACAAATCAGAATCTCTTTGTGGTGTTTTAAGAAAGAACACCGATCTGGTTTTTTTAGAATAATTGTTTTGGTTCCTTAGAGTAAATAGAGAAGGAAAGTAGGGGTGCAATATGTCAGGTGTGGGGCCAGTTATCCATTTATTAAATGTAATTTCAGGTGTCTTAAAACAACAGTTGCCTTATTGCATTTTAATATTTAATAAAAGTAGATGAAACAATGATTTGTACTGTAATAGTTATCCTTTTATACATTGCCAAAGCAACCCTTTTTTGCCTATTAAAGTCTGGTAAACTGTTCTGGCGTTTGTTGTTTCTTAATTCATTGAATATGAAACTAGATTTTAAAACGAAGTTATATAAACTTAAGACAAGTCTAAAAGGTAGTACAAGATTGTTCTTTTTTTTTACACTAAAAATGAATGTGATGTTAATTCAAATATCTAGCAATTACAGAATCATGAGAAGAACGTGGAATAGCATGTTGGACCAGGTGATTTAGAATTGATTACAAATCAATATCAAACTTAGTTTTAAATGGAAAATATATATTGTCACCTCATCTCTACCAATAATTCCAAATGTCTAATGGGATTGTTTCTTTAGAATTTTCTATAAACTCAGTTTTCAAACAAAAGAGAGCCTTTGAAAAGACATTAAAAAAAATGAAAATTTCTCTTACTACTAATACTGTAAGTGCTCTTTGGATCTGTCGTCAGATATTTTAATATCAAACTTAAGAACTGATATGGAGTTTTTGCTTATGTTTAGTTTATACGTCCATTCTGAATTTGTGAGCATATTCACTCACATAACACCATAGCAACTCTTGGAAAAATTGAAGAGAACGCAGCAGTGCATATTCCACTTAAAAAGTAAATTGACTTTGACTATGATGGAAAACAGCTGTTTTCAACCTTTGTTTAAAATCTCTTCAGGGAATGTTGGAATGTTGTGCAAAAGTAATTCAGGGTTTGTAGTATAGCTGTAGAATATGTCGTCCCTTCGAACCTTAGCAGGACACACATGCATCTCATGCGTTGTCGGTGTTGGACCACTGGCCTTTGATGAATTCTGTAACAGAGAATCTGTGAAGGCGATGGTTCGCACCTGTTCCTGAAATCAGAAACTGGAAAAGGTTGCAGGTGTTTCAATTTTTCACATAAGCATTTTGCATAAGTATATTAATATTTTGAGTAGTAATGGTTCTAAAGCTGCAGGAAGACATCTTGGTGTACTGTGATATGTAGAGATTACCACCCTTAAACTGCTTTTTCCCTTAAAATCTTATGGTTTTATGATAATTTGCATATCTCCCTCCAAGTGTTTCATGTATCTTGACATTTATTAAAGAGGAGTATAAGATTATAGATTCAGATGTAACCTGAGAATAATGGAAGGTTGCTTTGTTCTGTTTTGGGGAGTTCACCTCATCTTTTTCTTGAGAAACTGTGTGTTGCTGTTACTAAATAAACATTTACTCAATAAATGTTTGATTTCTTCAATTGATGTGCCTGAATTATTCTAGCCATCAGAAACAGTTTTGGGATCTTTAGGGTTGGGATGCTTGATAACTAGGAGTCTAGGCAGAGGGCACTTTCTAGATTGGCTAATTCAGCAGCTGAATAATGTCCTCAGGAACCTAGGTACCTTCTGTATTTCTGTTACCATTCTCATCATGTGAGCTTCGTCTCCCCATGTGGCCCCAAAGTGACAGCCAACATTCCAGGTCACAAATGACAACCAGAGGCAGAAATGTATGTCCTTTTTTATAAGAGGAATGTTCAACTTTCACTTGCCCTCATGGCCGTAGCAATGTCTGTGTCTAAAGCAGTCATTTTGCAAAGGGAATACAACTCCTTAACAGTTGGCTCATCACCAAAAAGATTTGCCCAGGAACTTAAAAATGGCCTCCCTTGAAGAATGGCTGCTCAGAGGAAACTGATGTTTTGCTCGAGGCTGGTGGGGTAGACTGGCAGGGGGCTTGGGAGATAGCTGTTGGATAGGCAACGGACCGTACATTATTTTACTGGCCCAAGTATTTCTTATAATTTCCAAGGGGATCAAAGATCTAGAGGAGAGCTCCTTTTCTGTACCAGGGTGTAATTTTGCTTTAAAAGGTCTCTGTAATGTGATAATTTAATGGTTTTCGGTTTTACATGTTTTATTATTTATACAGTGGGTTTTCTGGTCACAATCATAGCGTAAAGGGTCTGAAAACATTATTGCTTCCAAGGAAAGTTTAAAAGTTATTTTAAATTCATGATGCAAAATGTATTAATTACTTATTAGCAATCCGTCATTTTTAATATATTTTTTCTAAGTTACTGAATGTCCTCGTTGAAACGAAAATTCAAGCAATACAGAAGACTTAAAAGTATATGAAGTAAAAAATAAAAGACCTTCCTATCCATCCACCACTAAAAACGTTTGCTGTGTATCCTCCCAGTGTCTTGCTATGCACACCTATACAAGACACACACAGGTATGGTTCTAAAAATGGCTCCCACGTTACACAGTCTTCTGCAACTTGCCTTTTTTCACATAATACATCATGACATCTTTCCTTGTCAATACATTAGATCCACCTCGTTCTTTACAGCGGCGTATTATTTCATGGTAGTGTGCTTAAGTAGAGATTAACACACACACTCCTGAAGAATGAAAGTGTAAGTAATGAGTTTTAACTTGATAGGGAAAAGTAATAATTAACCACTTTTCCCATTATTCTAGTTAAGTGTGATTTAATTAGGAGCATTAAATTGCGAATAAACAAACTGTAGTGTACTTCAAGCGTCAAAGTAAACGTTAGATTGTTATAATTTTAATTTTTTAGTTAAAAGGATGAAAGTTTTTGTGCAAGTTATGCAATACACACTAATAAATAACAAGTTAAAAATTTATTTGTGAAAATTAACAAAAATTGCCCCCCAGATTTACCTTGCTTTGCCTCCTGTTCTTCAGCATTTGAAGTGTATTAATAGGGCCACTTAACTGGTTATAAGAGGTTGTCAATCCTTTAAAACAGTTCTGTCCAACAGAAATATAATGCAAGCACATACATAATTTTAAATTTTCTAGTAGCCGCATTAAAAGCAGTAAAACACACTTGAAATTAATTACAATATATTTTACTCAACCCCATATATCCAAAATGTTATCATCTGGACATGTAGTCAACATAAAAATGTCAGTGAGATATTACCTTTTTTTCATACTAAGCATGTATTTTTCACATATAACATGTCTCAATTTGAACTTGCCATGTTTCAAGTGTTCAGTGGCCACTTGTGGCTACCATGTTGGATGGCGCAGCTCTAGAATGTGAACTCTGAAGGCGAAAACCGTTTCTGTTTTTACTGTAGTATCTCTGTCACCTAATGCTGTGATTGTACATGGTAGACACTCAAAATGTGTTCAATGAATTTTAATTGAAAGATATTTTATAAAGTTATGGAGGGGTTTTTTGTTTTTGCTGAGGAAGATTTGCCCTGAGCTAACATCTGTTGCCAATCTTACCTATTTTTGTATGTGAGCCACCTTTACAGCATGGCCACTGATAGACAAGTGTTGTAGGTCCACGCCCAGGAACTGAACCCTGGCTGTCAAAGTGGAGCACGCTGAACTTAACCACTAGGCCGCCAGGGCTGACCTTGGAGGGTTGTTTTTTTTTTTTTTTTAATACATTTGGAGAAGAGTTTAAACTCTGACCATTTTATTTATGAAGACATTAAATAAAATTCTATTCCAAAAAATGTACACCCTCATCAATAGTGAAAGAAATTAAAATTAAACCAGAAGAGGAGAATTTTTTTCTAATCTAGTGAAAGTGGGGTTTTTTTGTCTTGTTTTTTAATGAACGAAGCCCAATGCTGGCAAGGTTATGGCAGGTTTATCTTTGAGACTAGCAACTTCCGCCTTGGACTCTTAGAATCCTGAGTTTCCTTGTAAGAAGTCTGACTCCCTTGCTATAGAAACCACCTGGAGACATCTTGAGACTATATAAGGAAGAAGAGCGTCCCAGCTGAGACCAGGCTTCTGGCCATCCCTACCGAATCCAGGCATGTGAGGGAAGTCATCTCGAACCCTCTTGGACCAGTGAAGCCATGTTGGGTCCTCTAGCCCAACCCTGCCACCAGTTGAAAACCACTGAGTGACTCCATTTGACACCAGGTGAAACAGAAGCCCTGCCCAAATTCCAGACCCACAAAATCATGTGATATCATAGAATGATTGTTGCTTGAAGTCACTAAAGTTTTGGGGCAGTTTGTTACCTGATAATAGACAACCGGAACACCTACACTGACTACCTAAAGTTGCAGTTCACACCTGTCCCTACCTTGGTGCTCTCAATTCTCCTTACTTCGCTCTATTTTTTCCTCCATAGTGCTTATCACCTTCTAACGTAATATTGTATGTTTATCTACTATGTTTATTATTTTATCTTTCTCTTCTCAGGCTACAACCCCCTCCCCCTATTCACCAGAATGTAAACGGATTTTTTTTTCTATTTTATTCACTGATACATGCCTGACACATAGAAGTGTTCACTAAATTCTTGTTGGATGAATGAGAGTTAACCCACACTTTATCACAGTATATAGATCTCAACGGAGCTGTCCAAGAATGAGCAAGATATTCAAAAAGTTGCATGGTAACTATGCGGTAATACTATGGGGAAAAAAAATCCAACCTAAAAGAAATTATACCCTAAGGAACAAATTTCCCTCACGTGCTTCATACTATGGAACAACTTATTAAGGTCATGAATTCATTAACGTAAACCTCCAAAATGAAATGATAAAAGAATGAGATTAAAAAAGAGGTTATTGGCCTAAGAAACAAGCTGAGGATCAAAGCGATACCATTAAAAATCTGATAAATAAATTAGAAAGGAACAGAAGAGACAGTTGAAAATTAAATCACTGACATTGAGGAAGGATTTAGCACAATGAGTCAAATGCTGCCAAAAAAAGGACAGACCATAACAATGAGAAAACAGCCGAAAGGACCACAGACTAGAAATAGTGCATGAACACATGGAACAGGAAAGAAAAAGGTATTTAAAGATACAAGAAAATTTCCTTGAAATGAAAACTATAATAGGGAATTAATCAGCAGATTGAAAGAGCACATCTTATTCCAGGAAATTCTGTTTCTGAATACTAACAACTAGATACAGTCTGGGTAAATTGTTAAATTTCAAAGATTTAAAATTTCTTCAGATAATGTTAGAAAAAGCAAATCATGCTCATAACAAAAAAAATCAAGCTATTTTTAGACTTCTGTACAGCAACATTCAACAAACTGAGAAAATGTCTATGATGTTTTGAATGAAAGAAAATGATGCTAGCATTTTTATTTATTTTTTATTTATTTTGTGTGTGTGAGGAAGATTGGCCCTCAACTAACATCTGTACTAATCTTCCTCTATTTTAATGTGGGATGCAGCCACAGTGGGGCTTGACCAGCAATGCTAGTTCCACACCCGGGATCCAAACCTGCGAACCCTAGGGACACCAAAGCAGAGCACGTGAAGTTAACCACTATGCCACCAGGCCAGCCCCTACACTAACATTTTTAATCAAACAAGATCTCATTCAAATATAAAGGCAAAAAAACAGATATTCTCAAACATGCATGAACTCAAAAAATTGCAAACTCTTAAGGCGTTCTTGAAAAGCCTACTTATAAATTAAAGCAGTCAGTTAACTGATGAGTCAACGTAAGGACGTCAGCAGTGGAGACATCATGATAAAAGAATTTATGATGAACAGTGAATCCGTTCAATTATGGGACTAATTGGAAATAGTGGGGGTATTACAATTACATACCAGAATCTAATCTAATATAGACTTTGACAATAATAATGTAATCCACAAAATTGGGAGGTGGAAACATGATTGTAGGAAGTGTTAACAGCAGTTTAAAAATGTGTTGTGATACCAACCTCGTTTTAAAGTTTTTATTTATTTATTTACTTTAAAGTTTTATCACAGAATGAGATTAATCATCATCCTTGATACAAGATACCCTCTTAGTTTTTGTCCATTTTTAGTCTTTCATTCCTTCATGACATGCCTGGTATAACCCTATTTCTACCTATCCTTCTACCTGTATATATGTAAAGAAGGATCTGAGAAGCAATGTTCACCTGATGTTAATAACACTTATTTCCAGATGGTGAAATTTGAAGTGATGATAATTTTAACTTGTTTTTGCAGAGAAGTATAAGAGATGCTAAGGAATTGGGGTGGGGGGGGGGGAGGGAGATTGGAATAGCATCTCTGCCTCTCAATAACTGTAATTTTGAGCAATTTAATTAATGTGTTTTTCAGTTTCCTTATCTGTGAAATGAGTGCGTTAATGGTTCTACCTCATACAACCATTGTGAGAATTAGATGGCTTCATACCCAGAAAGTACTTAAAATCATATTTGACATATGCTGAGATCTCGATAAATGTTAACTTGTCTCCTTTTTTTTTTTATTACTTTTCCTCCTAC